AATTCAGCCTAGTGGTTAAGCAGATGTTTAGCAGGCATGAGGCCCTGGATGGGTGAAGACTTGTCAGCTACCAGACATCATTCTAAGTACTCTGCATCTTTACTTTGTTACTACTTAAATTACAGCACATCACTTACGAGCTTAATACTATCTCAGAAGTCAGATGTGATGTACATGCCTATAATCCCAGTTGATACAAGAGGACTACTGTGAGTTCAAGGCCAGCATGAGCTTCATAGTGAGTACCAGGCCAACTAGGGAATCATAACAAGATCCTATCTAACAACAACAACCAAACCCTTCCCCCCACAAAACAAACAAACAAACAAACAAACAAAATGAAAATACCACCTCAGGCCCCATCCTGTACCTACTGAATTATAACCTATATTTCAACAAGGTTTCTAGGCGGGCAGTTTAACAAATACTACTTACAAATATGAACTCATTGCTCTTCATATCATATATAATGAGAATTAAATCCCTATGACAAACAATGAAAATGTTCTTCATTTTAAAAACCTGTAGTGAAAACACAGAGCATCAGGTGCCTGCACAGCAACTGTCATGCATTCTCGTTAGACTTCAACCTTGGCTACTATTGCATATTAAGTCTCAATTGTTTTTTTCAATTTTTTGGAGACAGGGTCTCAGGTAGCCCAGGCTGGCCTCTATATGGAGCTAAGGGATGACCTTGAACTCTTGATCCTCCTGCTTCTACCTCCCAAGTGCTGGGATGACAAGGGTGTGCCACCATACCCAGCTAAGCTCTCAAATTTTGTTTACATTTATTTAGAGTGTGTGTGTGTGTGTGTGTGTGTGTGTGTGCGCGCGCGAGCCCACATGCCATGGCCTATATGTGGAGATCAGAGGACAACCTGTAGGAGTTGGCTCTCTCCTTCTACCATGTGCATCCCAGGGATCCAACTCAGGTTATCAGGTTTGGCAGCAAGCACCTTTACCTATTGAGCCATCTTCCTGGTCCTTACCTTACTTTTTAAACAACTTACAGTATAGCCATAAGATGAAACAGTCTAACTATTAAAACTATTATTTAACGTTAAATTCTTAATAACACAATAAAATTAAGATGATCTATTAAGTGAATTAAGGATATAAAATTTAATATATGGTATGAGCTCAAATACATAACTACTAAGAAGTGTGTATGTAACTAAAATACCTGGGAAATAATTGTTACCAACATAAGGGTGGAATCCGATGTCAGAATGCCAAGGTTCAAACTCCAGCTCAACCACTTCCTAGCTGATTACTCTTAGGTAAGAGTAATCCCTTTTAAATCTCATTTTCTACATTTATAAAATGGGAACAGTTTATTGCACAAGAATGTTGGGATTTCGTGAGGTAATCTACATAAAGCATAGGCACTGAATATTATTATGTTTTTTCATTTTCCAAAATTTCATCAAGGAACACGTACTACATGTTTCAGCAAGAAAGAGTCTCAAAAACAATGCCATAGAGATCATGGACTATCTTACATAAAGGGCTATTCTGAAGAAAGTGACTGCTCTTCTGATTAGATAATAGAAGACTGAATTCAAGCAACTAACCGCTGAATAAGAGGTCTGAAGATCTTGAACCAGGCATGATTGGCAGTAAACTGAGTAAGGGGAGCTGCTGTGCCAGTTCCTCTCAAGACCTTTATCAAAAGGAAGTCCATCAGCTGCCTTGAATGCCACACATTCCAACTGCCTGGCAGTACCTATCTGACCTGGAGCAGGTTACCAGACTCCTCTCAAAGGTTCAGCCTTCCTCATCTGAAAGGAATGAGAATTACCTCCCTTAGAGTTCTTGTAGAGATGCAACAAGAAAATGGGTGTACTACTGAGCACACTGACTAGCACCGACAAGCACTCAGTGTCAGCTGAGATCTATCATACTCCTCACTCTTCCTCCTCCTCAGACACCTAAGGTCCCCAGCCCCTACTCCAATGGCTCATTCTGTCAATCCACAGGTCAACAGTGTTTTCACTGTTTTCTACTCAAGTTTATCTTCAAAGAACTATTTCATTACTAATTATCAAGGTGACCTGAGGTACAAGAGATAAAAACATTCCCCTTTAATTACAGTTTAGAGTCTCATATGTAAATAAACTATAACACATTTGAATTGTTAACCAAGGATACACAGCTAGCAGAAATGAAGTAACTCCAGGGGGTTTCCTTCACATTCCTCACATCTTCATAATGCAAACTTTAGTAAACGACTAAGTCATCCGCTTAAGTAAGTGAACTCTATCAATAGCTACCAGGTATAATCTAGGTCAAGGCTTTCACCTGATAAAATTAGATCAGAATCACTGTTAAGATTTAGAAAAGCCTAAGGATCACCCAGTCTGATCCTTTCATTGTACAAATAGATTTAAGAAACGTAGTTAACTTGTGAACAAGGAAAACATTCAAATGCTAATCCACTTTGTAAGGATTTAGTCCAAATCTTATAAAGAAATAAACCTCAGTTTACACTTTTAAAATAGCATAACTTGCAGCTCTGCTGAAGGGGCTCCTATCATTGCCACACTTCTAAGGTGTGAGCAGCAGCTTCACTTCACACCTCAACAATACTGAATCCACAGCTTTGGATTCTGCTTCAGAACGTGTCTTTATTAGAGAAATGGTAAAGGCAGAAAGACCGCAGCAAGGTGTTTAAAGACCTCCTATTTGACATGTAATTCAAAGAACTAATCATTTTTTACAAGTTGACTCAAAGAGTCATTATGCACAGTATAAAACTATCTGAAGACTATTTTTCTTCATATCTATACAAAAATTTCAGACACAAACTACTTTCAAGCCTACTCAAATATGCTCAACTGCATTCATATTTTGGAGAAAAATACGGGGAGGTAGCTATGTTTATAGATTGGATGTAAACATAAGCTCTATGAAGAAGCTGACAATATCTATAAAAACCATATATGGTTTTATATATCCTTTGACCCAGCAATTCCACTTCTAGACATTTACCCTCCAGAGAGACTCCTCCATATGAGAGCAGTCACAGGTACAGGGTATTTACTGTATCATGTTTGTAGTGCTAAAAACTGGCAGCAAGCCAAATGTCCACAATGTGAGACTAGCTAAAGCTATTGTGACCCATGAAATGTAATATTCTTACAGTCAGTAAATAATTATATAAATCTGAACATGCAAATACTTCTAATAGATATTAAGTCAATAATGTGTAGCATACAGCATCACTACTTTAAATATTGTACAGAGAGGCACACTTGGGCATGAGCCTGTATATGTATGTTTGGATGCATAGAAACTGGTAATAACAAATATCTTCATAAAAAGACCTGGGTAGCTGGGGAAGGGGAAGGAGGACTCACTTCTCATTCTTGAATTATACACTTCAGGGACTGGAGAGATGGCTCAGCGGTTAAGAGCACTGACTGCTCTCACAGAGGACCCGGGTTTGATTCCCAGCACCCACATGGTGGCTATGAACCATCCTTAACTCCAGTTCCAGGGGAATCCGAAGCCCTCTTCTGACCTCCGTGGCATTGTACAACACGGTACACTCACATACACGCAGGCAATACACTCATACACAGAAAAATAATAAAATATTTTTAAAAAGAGAGAATTACACACTTCAATTTTTCTCTATTTATACTTTCCTTGAAAAATTAATTTTTAAAATACTTACAATTTGGATATAGGACCTACCATGTATTCCAAATACAGTACTACAAATTTTCCTTCATAATTAATAGCTTTCAAATTCAGGAATCATAAAAATAAGAGGCTGGGGAGGTAGTTCAGTCAGTGAAGCACCCCGCCAAGCAAGCATGAGGCCCTGAGTTTGGACTCCCAGTGACCTGTGATTTTCAAGGGCACAAATAGGCAGAGCCCTAGGGCTTGCTGCCAATCAGGATATAGCCATTTGGTGAGCTCCAGGCTGACACTTTGTCTCAAAACACAAAGTGCAGAGCAGTAGAGAAAAACACTAGACATTAACCTCTGGCCTCTACGTGCACATGCACACACACAAGTATACGTGCATGCATACACATAAATAATAATTTTTATCACAAAATAAGCATTCTTTGGGGCTAGAGAGATGGCTCAGTGATCAAGAGCACTGGTTGCTCTTGTGGAAGACCTGGGTTCAATTCCTGGTAACCACATGGCAGCTAACAACAGTCTGTAACTCCAATTCCAAGGGAATCCGACACCCTCTTCTGACCTCTGTGGGTATTGCATGATATGGGTATACATGTAGGCAATACACTCATACACAAGAAAATTAAAATAAAATATTTTAACAAAATAAGCATTCCAAGGACCTGAATTTTTCAGGTCTATCTAGTGACTCCACAGCACACATCAGTTACACAGTTTGATTAAAATCCTAAAGTCAGGGCTGGAGAGATGGCTCAGCAGTTAAGAGCACTGGCTGTTCTTGCAGAGGACAAGGGTTTGGTTCCCAGCACTCACATGGCAGCCAACAACCATCTGTAACCCTAGCTCCGGGGGATTCAACACCCTCTTTTGGCCTCCGCAGGCATTGTACACTTGTGGTACACTTATATACTTGCAAGCAAAACACTCATACACATAAAAATAAGCAAACAATTTTTTTTTTTTTAATTCTGAAGTCCACTTCTAAGCAGAAATGCATGTTACTAATGTTACAGTAGAATCAGTGATAAAACTCAGACCTCAGATTGGTATAGTGCACAATCCTAGCTCTTAGGGAACCTAAGGCAGGAGGACTGTGAATTTCAGGGCAGACTGAGTCACTGAGTGATACCCAGACACAAGATAAAACAAGCTGGGTGTAGTGGCATATACCTTTAGTCCCAGCACTTGGGAGGCAGAGGCAGGAGGATCTCTGTGAGTTCAAGGCCAGCCTGTTTACATAGTGAGCAGCTGGGACTACAGGGAGACCCTGTCTCAAAAAGACATTTTAAAAAAAAAACAAAAAAAGATAAAACAAAACAAACAAAAAAGCCCCCAGACCTCACCGGACCAGGTCTCCGTGAAGCTGTAAATAGAGACTTTCTCTTCCCTCTCCAGCACATATTTCTGATGCTGGTGTCTCTACTGTGCAAAGGACAAGATGTAGGTCCGAGGAGGAGGAGGTGGCAGTTGTAGCGGCAGTGGTCATGTCTGCTCCATACAGGTAAACACAGCCTCTCTTCACATCTTCTCTCAGCCAATCTCTTTCTCGAGAACCAAATCTACTTCTTCTATTCAAGCAATTTCTGCTCCCATTGCGTTTCATGTTTCTCTAAAATATACCAAGAAGAAGAAATGATTAGAGAGAATGTTTGGCTGAATTACCCATGTTCAGCCCTTACCCCATCTCTGGTCTATAACCTTCAGAGACCCACCCCTAGTAACATCCCCACCTCCTAAAGGCTCCCCAGCTAAGTCCCCACCTTCTAAAGGAAGGGAGGAAACTGATGGCACTGTTCAGGAGAGCTGGGGACCCATGTAGTGGAAGGAGAGAACCAACTCCTGCAAGCTGTCCTCTGACCTCCACAGGCCAACCATGGTATGCAACCCCCCTAATAAACAAATATAATTAAAAATAAATATTTTTAAAAGTCTGCATGTACATTTCTACGTTTATGGCTAAACCATATCTCCTCCCTTATATTTCGCATTTATCATTCCACAAATTATACTTTTGCCATATATCTATACCATAAAATAGTTATATCATTATCTCACCTGATTTGAACTTTAAACATACATAAGTTTCACCTTGCAAATTTATGTAGTTCAACACTGGTCCAGAGATATACCTATGCTAATACAACCAGTTCATTTATCTGACTATTCCATTATCTGAATACAACTTGTCCATTCTCCTGCTGATGAAATTTAGTTTGTTTCTAGTATCTCTTCACTGCTGGACACAATGCTGCCATGAACGCTGTATGACTTTTTAAGTCCATCTGTAAGTTCTTCTCAGGTTCTAACCCTCTGCCTCATAGTTCAAATAAGCAAGTACAATATTGGCACAATCTTTCTTTTTCTTCTTTTTTCTTTTTTGGTCTTTTTGAGACATGGTCTCCCTGTAGCCTCAGCTGGCCTGGAACCCAATATGTAGACCGGGCTAGCCTTGAACTCACAGAGATCCGCCTGCCTCTGCCTCCCAAGTGCTGGGACTAAAGGTATACACCACTATGCCCAGCCAATATTGGCACAATCTTACAATATAAATATTCTTCCCATTCTTGACATGCTTATAAAAAATTACTGTTGTTTTACCAAAGTATGTGAAATTCACACATATACTATTAAATCAAGCTATCTTAAAGCAGAAAACAACTGTTAAGAGTCAATATAAAAAGTTTCCAGCCAGGAGGAGGTAGGGCACACCTATAATCTCAGCCCTCTGAACAGGAATAGGTAGTTTGAGGGCAGCCTGGCCTATATAAAGGAGTTCTAAGTCAGCCTGAGCTACATATTGAGATTGTTTCAAAACACAAACAAAAATCAAACAACAAATCATTTCATAAAGTGAACACTGGCTTGTTGTTTTCATGGTGGACCATTTCTGCTCTTTAACAAAAAAGAAACGTCTTCTGACAATTATACCAACATACTGTTGGCTGCATTTCCCATTGACCTTTACTGTTTCCATCATCTCTAACCATCTCCATCTCTCCAACCACTTGAACTATTCCACAATCCTGCTTCTTTGAAACATCCTTCTCCACCTTCTCTACATGTTGCTGAGTTGCTCCCCAAAGCCCTCTCAGATGTCAGGCTTGCCACAGAGCCTTCCATAGCTCCCACCCCCTACCTACCTAGCACTAACTCCACTATACTCAACAGAGGTCTTCACCTAGAATACACTTAAAATGTTCAGGTATGGCAGAGGATTTTAATCACTTCTTCAATTTCTCCCTCTACCAGTGAGAGCCCATGAGAATGCTTTCAATACAGAATGTCAGAGAGAGGGAGGCAGAACAGTTGACATCACAGCAATTGATACCCAATCTGCACTTTGGCTTAATCACACAGCTATGGTAAGAAACTGAGTAAACTTCAAAAAACTTTTTTCAATTTTTGAGGCAAACCATGTAATTTTCACCTACAAGTAAAAAGAAGTAAACAAAACACATTTACTAATATTCCTCATAACAGAAATACATATAAACAAATATTAAATAATTGAGGGTAACTGTAACACTTAAAAATAAAATAAGCCAGGCATGGTGGTACATGCCTGTAATCCCAGATATTGAAGAGTGTGAGGCAAGAGGATCAAGTTCAATAACAGCCCAGGGTATATCAAATAAATAAATAAATAAATAGTAAAAACAAAAGAAGGAAAAATTAGCAGGTATTCCCAATGCAAAAAATTTAAAACAAGGATAAGAATGTCCTTGCTATTTAAGTTTAGGATAGCACATGTAAATTGACTTTAAAAAAACAAAACAACAACAAAACAGTGCTAGGAATTGGACCCAGGTCTTAACATACTGGTAAGCACTCTGCAACTTAGCGACACCTTCAGCTCTAAATCAAACGTTCTGCAGTTCTTCCAGATCTTAGTGTAACTAGCCCAAACCATGAAGAATAAATCCTTGCTACAAGTGGAAATGAGGTCTCTCTTCCCACCAATTACACTCTTTCTCAAAGCTGCATCTCCGCTTAAGCATCTCAGAATGAATGAAGGGCTTTCAAGCGTTCATTTCAAAAACACCAAAGGCTGTCATATTTGTACCACTAAGTAATTGTAAATACTGAATAGTTAGTTACTGGCTAATTTTTAATAATCCTTATTTTTAATCTTCGATAAAGATGAATGGGTCCCTCTGGTCAATAGTCTGTGTACTAGAGTAACATTTACACAAAGAGGCTCTGCATTCTGCACTGACTGAAGTGGAGAAAAAAACTAGTCAGATACTATGCCACACAATCACCAAAAGGCTTTTTTGTGTGTGTGAGTGTACTGCCTGCATGTATGTAAGCATACCTATGTCGTGCAATGCCCACAGAGGCCACAAGAGGACATCAGACCCTCTGGAACTGGAGTTATAGATAGCTGTTAACCCCCATGTGGGTACTAGAAACTGAACCCAGGTCCTCTACAAGAGCAGCCAGTACTCTTAACCACTGAGCCACCTCTCTAGCCCCCTCAAAAGGGTTTTATTTTTATTTTTTTAGACAGGGTCTCCCATAGCCCCTGGAACTCACACTATGTAAACCAGGTTGGCCTGGATCTCACAGAGATCCACCTGCCTCTGCCTTTTAAAGGCTAAAGGAGTGAATCGCCGCAGCAAGCATCATAAGGCTTTTTAAAGTCAAGAGTGGTGGTACAGGCCTGTAAGATCAGCACTCAGGAGGCTGAAGCAGAAAAATTGCCATAAATTTGAGACCAGTTAGGGTTACATAATGAGACCTGCCTCAAAAATACTAGTTAAACTAATTAAATAATGATCCACTGAACCTCACAATTTAGGAAAGTTTCAGAAAGACCCCAGAAGTATTATAACATGGTTCACAAATATTTTTCTTCCAAACGTTGATTCTTTGTTTCTAACAGGGTCTCATGTAGCCCCAATTGGCCCCAAACTCACTAGTTCAACTCTTCCCTTCTTGACTCCATCTCCCAAGTGCTGAAATTACAGATGCATGCCACTCCATCTTCTGGAGAGTTTTACAGTCATTTGTAAATGTGTACATATATTCTCTTAAGACTACAAATTCCTGGAGCTGGAGAGATGGCTCAGTGGTTAAAAGTACTGGAGAGGACCCGGGTTCAGTTCCCAGCACCCACAGGTGGCTAACAACCATCCCGAACTCTATCTAGTTCCAGGGGATATGGCCCCCTCTTCTGAATTCCACAGGCATTGCATGACACTGACACACATACGTTCATGCAGGTGATACTCATACACATAAAATTTTTAAAAAAATTTTTAAAGACTATAAATTCTTTAAATTGTGTTATCAAAACAAATATGTTTGTTGGTCATCATTTACCTCAAGATTTGTTTCCTACTTATATGCTACACTCTACCCTGTGAAGAAAATCTGCTGAGGTGTTAGAGAACTCCAGAAGATCCGGTTCATCTGTACCTCGTCAATGGGCATTTAAAAGGCCCAGACAATAAGCAAAGCAAAGCCTTAGAGCAACAACCTAGGTAGTCTGTTTAGCTCTTACTGGCCACTGCTAACTTACCTAGGGCTTCCTTCTCAGGAATGTCCTGCTCCACTGCCTACCACACAAGGAACTGCTCGTAAAGGACTTCTTAGCTGCCAGTACTGCAGGTGATACTGTCCTCTGAGCAGTTTTCAGCTGTTGACAATCAACATTCTGACTTGCTAGACTGAAGACATTTACTTTCTCCCTTTCATAAACACTATTATTACAAACATCTAAAAGTGAACACAACTACACTTACCACATCAAACAAGTGTACAAAGGCTAAGATTTAAGATTTAAAGAAATTTCTATGAAGTCAAACTTTTTAGAGCCATGAATGGAGTACCCCACTGCTTGAGTTTTACACTCCTAATTATAATAATAAAGATGAGAGCTATGATCAGTTCAAGGCAGCAAACTAGTAAATACCCACATACATAAACTTCAAGGCTCACATGGTCAAATGGCAAATCTCCATCCTTAATGAGCTCTATTAGAATGTGGTGGAATGCCTTAAGGCAGGAGATGTTTCTACATTCAAATGTTAAATCAATAATGGCTTTTCTCTGGGAATATCACATTATAGCTTTTTTTTGAGACAGGGTCTCTCCGTAGCCCCAGCTGGCCTGGAGCTCACTATGTAGGCCTACCTCAAACTCACAGAGATCCACCTGCCTCTAGCTCCCAAGTGCTGGGATCAAAGGCGTGTGCTGCCATGCCAGGTACTTTATGGAATAATTTTAAGGACTGAGGAGGAGTGTGATGACAGGGAAAGGAAGAAAATTTCAGCTCAGTAAAAATCTTTTGGAGGCCAGGTGTTCTTTCCAGTACGGTCTTCTTAAGTATTCTTGTCAGGCGGTGCTCAGCTACTCACAAGAACGTCAGTATGTGGAACATACAAACCATGTTCTCCATGACCCTTCCCTGTATTTGTATAGGTAAGAGTGCTTAGCACTAAGCAGGAAAATGAGGGACAGAGAGGCCTTAGAGACAGCCTCTCACATCAAGAGCTCCGTACTAGAATCATAATCAATCACTGGAATCTTTCTAATGATCCCTAATTGGGAACTTGGGGGAAACAGTGGAAGACAGGCTCCAATAAAGGTCTTCATTTCATTCTCACAATTTACCACCTTGCCAGGCATGGTGGGCAGGCCTTTAGTCCCAGCACCTGGGAGGCAGAGGCAGATCGCACTCTGTGAGTTCAAGGTCAGTCTAGTCTACATAGTGAGTTCCAGGCCAGCTGGAGCTACAGGAAGATGCTGTCTCAAAAAGACCAAAAAAGAAAAAAAAAAGACTAAAAGGTAAGAGAAATACGTTTTTCATTTTACAGTGTACAGGTTTCATTCGTTCACTAACCATCAAATCCATTTTCTGACATTTGTGATGTCTTACCAATACTCTTAAGAACAAGAAACTATCACTCAACAATCTCAATGCTTTTTTTTTTTTTTTAACATGCATTTTCAACAGTTTGCAAACCTATTTTTAAAACACACTGAATCTCAATCCTCTTTCCCCTCCGGCAAGTTTTAAATCCTTCTAGAACTCTGGAAGAATTCCATTGCACCTCCTTTACATATTGGACATACAGAAAATTTTCTCTGCAAGTGTTTCAGAGGATATTGGAGAACTCCACCCATTAACCATCTCCGTGTCCGCTCTCCACCGACTGCACTCCTGCATTGATACTTGTCACCATCACCTTAAAGGCTCCATTCCCCCTCTGCCTGCATCTGTTTTCCTATGCTCCTACTCCCCTAATTCCTGCCCAAAGCCCCTCTAGCTGCCTGTTGCATAACGGCTCCCCCATTCCCGTCTCCCCGGATGGATTCCCGCGAGCAGGTAAGTCCCCCTGCGGGCCCGGTCTACTCCCCGCTGCAACCCGCCCCGCGGGTTCGCGGGAATCGGCTCCTCCCGGGATTCTCCCCGGAGCCGGGCGGGCGGCGTCGCGCGTCTCGGAGCCGGGCGCCGGGTCTGAACTTGGGTAGCAAGCCCAGAGGGCAGAGCGCGCCCGCACCAGCCGGCGCAGCCTACGGCGCCAGGCCAATCGCGGCCGCCATCCTCCCACTGGGGTGATGTCTTCAGGTGTCCGCCGACTGCCTCGCGTACTCGGCAGCTCAGCTCCCGCCCTTCCAGCCGGCTCCCAAGCCAGGGCAGGGCCCAGCGAGGCCGAGACGGTCCCGGGGGGTGCGGAAGCCGGTGGGCGGCGGCTGCCCGAAGACGTGGGCCTGCCGGGCGGGTGGCGCGCGGCCAGGGATGGGCAGCGCCGGGGACCGAGGAGGCCGAGGCCTGGGTGGGGCGCGTACCGAGGCCTCCCGCAGGCCCGCGGGGCCCCGAGCCCGGAGCCGGGCGGCCGAGTGAAGAAACCGGCCGACCGACGCAGGCGCGGGCAAGGGGCGCCGGCCGCCTTGGGCAGCGCGCGGCAAGGGCGGCCTCGGCCCGCCCGCTCGCTCCCTCCCCACCCGCTCGGCCACCCACCCGCCGCCTCACCTTCAGGACCCGGATCCCTCCGGGCCGGCGACACGCCGACGCCTCGGGCGGCTCCGGAGGCTCCAGCGAGCCCGCGAGCCCCGGCTCCACCTCCCCCATTGGCAGCTGAGGCTTCTCAGGGACGCCCGGCCGGCGCGACGGCGCGCGAACCTCTGAGGCGCGCGCGAGCAGCCAAGAGGCTCCGCCCCCAGGCCACGGCTCCGCCCCTCGGCCCGACGCCCCGCCCTCCGAGGCCCGCGGCCCCGCCCCGGGTCCCCGCTGGACTTGCGTAGCTAAGGTTGGCAAGGCTGGCCGGGCGGAGCGGCACCCTGGCTGCGGGCAGCGCCGAGCAGAGCTGAGCTGAGCTGAGCGGGCGGAACCGGCCACCGCCCAGGGTTTGGACGACTGGGGCGCCGGGAGGGCGACTCGCAGTTATTCCCGCCCTCAAAGGAGCAGCAGGAGGAAGAGGCGGGTGGGGCCTGCATCTGTCACTTGAGGCTGCACTCTGCCCTTTGCTGAAGGTGGCTCCAAGAACCTCTCTCTCCAAAGATGATTCCCGCTCCAAAACTGGCCAGTCACCCCGACTCGCAAAGCCTGTGAACAAACTGTTGCAAATACCTTAAGAAGGTCCTTTATAGCTGGGCGTGGTGGCACACGCCTTTAATCCCAGCACTTGGGAGGCAGAGGCAGGTGGATCTCTGTGAGTTCAAGGCCAGCCTGGTCTACATAGTGAGTTCCAGGACAGCTGGGGCTACAGGGAGACCCTGTCTCAAAACAAAAGGTCCTTTACTTAGATGGCTCGACCTTCTTCAGCAAATTTCAGCCGACCTCATGTACACAAGCGTCATTTTCTTTCCAGCCACATTTCAATTTCCTTTTCGTGTAGCAAAATATCAGAATTCTGTTGCCCTCAAGCAGTCTCATGACTTGTAAGTCATTTTATTATTTAGGAAGGCTTCATTTGCCCCCACCCCCAAAATTAACGTTTAACTTTAAATTATGTGTCCGTGTGAGTTATATGCACTTGAGTACAGGTGCCCATAGAGGCACTGGATCCCTTGGGGCTGGTGTTATCGGCAGTTGTAACTGGGTTACAACTGTAACTGGGTGCTGGGAATCAAATTCAGGTCCTCTACAAAAATAGTATGTACTCTTAACCTCTGAGTCATCTCTCCAACACAAAAAAGTTAGCATCTCTTTTAGTTCCTAGAGTAATAATTGTGTGATCAATGGGCCAAATTAAATCTGCCTCATTCCAAATTTCAGCTGCACTTGTACAAATTACTTGATCTAAATCTTTGGTTCTTTCCATTTTTTTCAAACAGGGTCTCATGTAGCCCAAGCTGGCCTCCAGTTCACTATAGTGCCAAGCTTGGTGTTGAACTTCATATTCTCCTACCTTCACTGCCCAATTGCTGTGGTTGCAGATGTGCACTGCCATGCCCAGCTTCCTTTGATTCTTGAGGAATGAAACAGATGTTAAAGTTACCAAGTTGTAGTGAACAATGCAGAAAGAGAGCCTACCTCATCTTAGAGATTCATAGTAGCCATTATAATTCTGAAATTCCAGATTTGAGATTCACTAAACATCCCAAAAGCACTAGCATTGATTGCTTCTAAATTTTTCCAGGAACTTTCTAGATCTCTGTATTCTTAGGGCTTCTCTCTTATACACGTATTGAGTCTTCAAGCAACTTGTAAGGAATTTAAGAGCGAAATGACATCTTGAATAATTGGCAAGGTTAAATCTATCTGTTGCTTCAGTTTGACTAGTCTATGTCTGGAATTTTTTAATTGTAGACTTAAAACCAGAGTTTCAGATCTAACAGGGCCTATTTGTTAATCTGGAGATATTTCACATGCCAAGACAAAATTTAGTTCTCAAAGGTTCTGCCCCATACTATTTTTTTTTCTTTTTTAAAATAAGGTCAGGGGCCAGGCACACCTTTAACCTATGAGTTCAAGGCTAGTCTAGTCTGTATAGTGAGACCCTGTCTCAAAATAAATAAAAGGTCACTATTTTGTCTTCATATAAATTTCTTTCATCTATCACAATCACAATCTCCAGTAATCTTCATTTCCTGGTCTCATTTAAATACATTAAATTTGATTTCACTCTCCAAGTCTGATACAGGGTTTTTGTTTTTGTTTTTTTAAGCTCTTAAAAAGTTTGCTTCCTGGGCTCTTCCTTCCACTGTGAAATTTACTTTCAAGAAAGCTACCTGATGCAGTTGGATTTCCATTTCCTAGTTTCCTGGGCAATTTCTCAGAAGCACTGGTGGGACAGGCATCAATATGGAGTCAGAGGACCAAGGGCAGGCAAGCAGCCGTAAGGAGTGAGGAAAAAGGAAAAGGAAGCTGGGAATGTTTCCAAAAGCTTGTTTCCTGAGGTATTCCAGATTACCTTTCCCAGATTTCATGCGATTCATCACAAGAAAAGATCTTGTCCCAAGGCTAGCCTGCGTTCATGCCAGGTAACAGCACTTCTATATGGATGGTTATCTTTTTATATATATTTTTTATTCTATGTGTATGAGTGTATTGTCTGCATGTATGTGAGTGCACCCGTGCCATGCAATGTCATGGAGGTCAGAAGAGAGCTTTGGATTCCCCTGGAACTGGAGCTAAGGACAGTTCGTAGCTGCCATGTGGGTGCTGGGAATCAAACCCAGGTCCTCTGCAAGAGCAGTCAGTGCTCTTAACCACTAAGCCATCTCTCCAGCCCCTGGATGGTTATCTTTTTAATTATTGGGATTAATATACTGTAGCATCAATCCAAAATAAAGCCTATGCTAAAAGTATCTGCTACTTTAAACTGGTAATAATAGTTCGTCTTTTAAAAGAAACAATACCCTTGAGTTGGGGATTTAGCTCAATAGTAGAGTGCTTGCCTAACAAGCTCAAGACCCTGGGTTCGGGCCTCAGCTCCGGAAAAAAAAAAAAAAAGACAAAATAACAAAAAAGTAAATAAAAAAAAAAATACCCAAAGGGCGCTGGTCCAAATGCTTCATGGGATCAGTTTATATTGCAGCTACCTTTAAAGTTCCCTATGATTTCAAATCTGGTTCAGTAACAATAACCAGTTGTTTTCTTTTCCAAATCACGTACTGCCATTAACACAGTACCGTATTTCAAAGGTCACATATTTGTGCTCTCCCCCAGTTCAAAGCAATGTGTATCATGTATGCCAACAGTTATGTAACTATAATTTCTGGAAATGGCAAACAGCTGAGACTAACCCTAAAAATGAATTCCTCTGGGATATGTGTGTGTGTGTGGGTACACAGCACCCAAACATCATCTGCCCTCACTGCCAGTTCATCATTACTTGGCTCACTCTAAGGCAGAGTCCTTAGGATCCCTCCTCTCCCTGTCTTTTCTAATGAGACTCTACACACTCTACCTCCCTAGCACACTGTGGAGAAGGAAAGCCAGTATCTATTGGACTCTGGTAGAGGAGCCAAGACATTTCTCTCCACTTACTTATATCTAGTTCTCATTCATTCAGTGGTCACAAGGTCATCCTCATGCCTGAATCAATTGTCATTCTACCACAGAATACACAGCTTTAAATATTTCTTATTCTGGTTCCAGACAGCATTTACCTGACTTCAAAGTTTGAAGGCATTTTTTCCATGCACATTTCTCTTTTTTTCTTTTGCAATGGGTGAGCCCAGGGCTTCATACATGCTAGGCAAGCACTCTACTACTGAGCTACCCCTCCAGTCCATTGAACAAACATTTTTGTTTTTCACATATAGAGAGACAGCTGATCTGGGGGAGAGCCATAGCATGAAAAGCCTTTAAAGTGATTAAAATTAAAATGGTAATTCTGGATTAAGTTCAAATCTGAGCACTATTCATGTCATTATTAAGTAAATGTCCAGTATGTTTACTGGCTACATTTTTCTATTGTAGCTTTTATACATTCAAATTACATGTAGATGTACATGCCAGTTTAATAACAGAAACAGATGAATTTTAAGCTATGTAGAAGGCAAGTTTATAGAAATGTTGCTTATCAAACAGTGCCAAAGAGCACTTCTGCATAAACTAGAGAACTGCCAAGGCCTACACCCTTCCCTTTTCAATCTAGAAACTGTCACATCTGCTCCTTTCTTGACTAAGGGACTGTCAGGGATCATTAAAGTCAACAGAAAGCCTAAAGCTTTCAGCTTCTGACAAAGAATTCATATGAGGGCTGGGAAGAGAGCTTGCCATGCAAGCATGAGTTCCCACATAAAAAGCCGGGTGTAGTGGCACAACTGTAATCCCTGCACTTCGGACATTTAGACAGGTGGCCTTGCTGGCCAGACAGCACAGCCTAATCAGTGAACCCCAGGTCTCGACGAGACACCCTTGTCTCAAATAACAAGGCAAATGGCTCACGCACACACAGACACACACACATACAGCGCCAATTCATGAGTTCATGCAAAATAAGCCATGAAATTTGGCTGGTTAGGCCTTTATCAAATTCTAGATATACTCAATTCACACACACACACACACACACACACACACACACACACACACAAACAGCTTACAATTACACGACTGCCTTAATACACATTTCGCCTTGGTGACTTCATTGCCTTGAGAATTCATCTATGTAGAGAAAATAAACAGGAAAGTAACTGTATTACAGTTAATACATCTACTTGCTCTTAAGACTCTCACTATCTGTAACATCTGCAAGTTGTCTTGACATGCTCAGTTTCTTCTCTGGGTGAGGTTTCTATATAAAAGGAACAGGAACCAGTTAAGTTTAGCTCAAAGCTCTGGAATAAGAATTCATCCATGGCTTCTAATCCACACGTAAGAAGGCAGGCAGCGAATTTGAAATCATTGAGTATTGACTTTTTATTATTAGTCACTGTTCATAATTTGTTTCAACCAAAAGACAATACACACAGCAGAATTCTAATGCATCCCATGTAAATGTTTACATCCATTTTATTCCTCACTCGCCTCTAAGACTTATTTCATTTTAAATTTTTTTACATCTCAAAAATATGTCTGCAATAATTAGAACTTCATTAGCTGTCCCACTTGGAAACAGCCTTTTAATAATTTTACAGTAAAGAAGATGTGATGGGGCTTAATGAAAATGTAACACAACATTGTATAAGAAAAAGGAGTTTACAGGAACACAGTGGGGTTTCACGAAGGAAAGAGTTCAGAAGCTCTTTCCCAGGTGGTCCCCAAATAAAAACAAAAACAAAACACACAAAGCGCAAATGCAGGTTCTTGGGGGAAAGGAAAAGTCTCCAAGGCTCCATCTGGAAGCCAGAATCATGAAGCAACTGCTGGGCTGCTTCAAGCTGCTTCAGCGTTTTCTTAAGTGTTCAGGTTCTGGGAACGGAACCTTGTCCGTGGGACCCACTCACTGCCACTACTTGAAAATGTTTTGCACTTCCAGCTCCATAAGCAGCCCCACCCTCCCAAGCCAAAGCTGGTCAGAAGTGTTTTAAACTCAGGTTTTTCTGAGCAATTCTCTCTTCAGTGATCCTCCCCACACCCAAACTGATGAACACACAGACATATACAACCCTCCCAACCACAAAGTTTGTGAAGATGCATTTTTCTGCTCTCCAACTCTCAGTTTAGGACACTGTGGTTAAAGTACATTCACTGGGGAAAAAAAATACACATTCAAATTCCGTCTTTCCCCTAGTTCTTATAACCCAAATATATTCTAATGTAGAAGACAACGAAAGTGAACCTCAAAGGCAGTATTTCCCAACTCCAACTTTTTCTAGGACATAGAAATGGAAAACGTGTTGTATAGTAGATGGAAATGTTCAAACTATTAGTGCTGGACAAGTTGTAAAAGACTATTTTCATTTATGAGGGAGACAAACACAGGGTAAGAACCACACCTTTAACTGAGCAAAAAGGATCTCTGAAATGTTCAACAGAGGAATGTTTCTGTAAGTGAAAAAAAAAAAAAGATCTTAAAATTACCAGATGATCACAGAACACAGCAAAACCTTCCACGGCTACCTAAACCACCTCAGGGCAACAGCACCAAAGCATGTGGGGGAAACTTAGGAAAGAGCACCCTTCCTACAGTTTTCTGAGATTACTTCGATGAATTCTTCAGATGACTCTGGATGGGAAGGAAGGATGGTATAAAAACTACTCGAAGAGGACAATAATGAGGTACATGTGCATGAAACTGTCAGTCAGTGGGGCTCACTGCTTATCACCTTGTTTATTCAAAAGTCCCAGAAATCACTTTCTTCACAATGGCTCTGAGGTTGTCAAATCCATCCAAATCTGCTTCCCCTTGAAGGGTGACACGAGGGAAAGGAATTACTGAAATGTGCAGGCATTCACAGAAATGAAGAGATTCCCCTTTTAGCTGCAAGGCCAAGTGAGAGGAGAACTAATTGCTGATCCTAGAAACTAAGAAGGCACGCTGAAGCTTTCAAAGATCCAATCACGTGACACAGTCTTCATCCCATCCGTGTCCTAGGCAGTTATCTAGCTGCTAGTTCTTCAGAATGGTGCTCAAGTTCAGTCTCTGATATCAATTCATACTCTACACAGCACCCTTTGTGTTAAGGCCATGATATTTTTATTCCTTCTCCACAAAGTCATGGATGATCATGAACTCTACCTCAAAACTCTGACCACACAGGCAGATGCTTTGTTTGCAGAGTAGATTCTTCCCAGCTCCATCAGCTAGCACTGTCTTTTAGCTTGGTCTTGAGCAGATTTCTTCAGTTACAATTCAGTTCAACCCAAAACAAAAACAAACACCTGAGCTGGTTAGCTACAAATGTAAGGGAGAAAAGAAAGCCTCCACACAAAGAGGAATGTTAAGACAAATTCTATTCAAGAAATCCACCAATATAACAGTAATCCTATCGTGTTTCACAGCATTAAATATCTATCCAATGAAATCCGTCTGCAAGAAACTCTTAAAGGCTATTTTTCATTGCACAGGCAGAACAGTTGTCTGAAGTATGCACTAGTTCACACTTGCTTTACTGAAAACAGGAAATAATATCCTGTGCTTAACTCAGCCAACCATTTACCCAGTAGACTAAGTTTCAGCAGATCTTGCTCTTCTAAGACCGGTAAGACCAGAAACTTTCTCTTTTGGAGCCTTTAGTTCAACTCCAGTTTGTCAAATGTTAGGAATAGTCTAGCATCTGATACAGAGCTAGGTTTGACAAGACACTGAAGATCTTAAATAAAGGCTTGGTGAAATGGAATAGGGAGGAGATTTGTATCAAGGTTTAAAATTGAAGCCGAAGTAGCCATTATACTGTACAATACAGTAACAACTGCAAAACTTTTACATGCAAGGTGGGCCTCACTTCTTCTTTCTCCTGCAGTATGTTAGACACAGTGCCTGTATATCTGAACGTACACAGTACATTCAACATGTGCCACAGGACAGTCACCATCACCTCATTCCAGCAAGTCAACATTAAAGTTTGGTAATACCAGGGTCCTCTCTAAAAAGCATTCGGCACTCTTAATATTTTATAAAAAGCTCAAATCTTTAATGCAATCATGAGATTGATTTCTTTCAGGAGACCAATTTCTCGGGCTCAGGAAAAGATAGTTCTACCTTATGATGACCATAAGATGTCCTCTAACATAGGGGGCAAGGAAGCTACAAGGCTTCGTTTCAACATCATAAAGTACAATGTAGGAAAGATTTCTTTAACCGTGTGGTCTTTATTTCAGTGCCAGTGTTACAGATACAACACAATGTTCCAGTTAGAAGAAGGAATTCAAACGGAATGCCAAGGTCCAAGCCAGGCTCAGGAAATTAAAAGGGAGGTTTGGAGAAATGAATAAGATGACACCAATATGCCCCAGGACGAGTATGGTTCTGCCGTCCTATGGATAAAGGTGTTTTGTCAAGGAGTCCTTACGATTTGTGGACTCCTCTTTCTACCCCTTTACCACAACTCAAACAGGCAACTGACAGGTTTGGAAGAAACACTGTGATGGGACCAGGGTCATTAATAACTATTCATGTATCTTTTAGAAGGTGTCCACTTTGCACTTCAAGGGGAACTGATTTTGAAAATCATGGAGAGAGTTCATAACTACAGCTAAAGAATGGAGGGGAAGGGGAGCTGGAAGAGCCTTGGAAGTTTCTAGTACAAATAGAGCACCATATCCTTCATGCCAAACCTCAGCAAAAGCTCTTTTTAACTGCATCTGTCCAGTGTTTACAAATAACCTCTCAAGGTCTGACCAGTTTTTAGTAACAAACATACATACACGTGTGTCTGTGTGTATACAGCAATGCACAGAAAAGGCTACCAGGAGCCTAATGCCTCTTTCAAACATTGGGAGAACCAGCAGAAAAAGGCAGGGTTCCCTAATGTCCATTGTTACATTTCCATTCCAAATGCCAGATGTAAAAAGCGCTTTAAGATGGTAACCCAGCTAGTGAGGAATCAACACCCCACCTTGCCTAGTCCACAGAGATACAACAGTAGAGAGAAGGGGCCACTCTTTGCTGCAGAGACAGAGTGAGTGTTTTCTTGTCAAGAATTCCAGTCCTCTCCTCCAGACCAGCTGCTTATTGCCTCAGGGGCCCAGGGAATGTTGGTTCTGGCTGCAAACGTGGGAGGGGTGAAGTGCGGAAGAGGGAGAAGAGGAGGAAGAGTGCAAAGTAGCCTCCAGAAGCAGCCAGCCTCAACAGCAGAAGAGAGGACATTAGTCTTTAACAATGCTTCAAGGTCAGCAATAACTTCAGGAAAATCCTCCTCAGCAGCTCTCTTCAGCTCCTCATGCCCATGGTACAGTTGGGGGGACTTGCCAGCAATCACAACCTCCTTCCCAGAATTCCTTTGATTGAGTGGGTAAGAATGAGAATGGTGCTGGACTCTCATTGCCAGGACTGAGGGGGAAAGTTGTTCACTTCTGCTAGATCTTGCATTGCTGAGCCCTTGTGATTATATGTGAGCTTGATCCGCATTCGCAGCTGTTGCTGTAAAGAAAAAGAGAATCCCAAATTAATGCACTGAATCAAAATCTCCTGTGCTCCCCAGTCTAGAAATAGCCTGGCTTTTTTTTTTTTTGAGACAGGGTCTTGCTGCCTTGACCAGATTGGCCCCAAACCCCTTGGCTCAGGTCATCTCAGATCTCAAGCTCCTGGGAGCTAGAAGTACAGGCACAGCTATCATGTCTAGGTCCATGGAGAGATTTTCAATATTAAAGGGTCAACAAAGTACATCAAAGTAAAGTTGTCTCTTAAAAATGAGACACAGGTAAAGCCATCTATTACTCTAGTTTTGCAGGAGGAGCCAGAGCCAACACCACGCCATCAAGGAGAGGACAACACCTCCACAACACGTGGACCCTAGAAGAGCCTCCAGAGGATGGATGGCAAGGCACAATGGGGGAGAAGGCAAAAAGATCTCTAGAAATAGGAGGTAAACACAGTCTTGTGCTCTGTATTTAGGTAAAATGCTGCTTTGTTTACAGATCCTACAACAAATATGAACAACAAAACTTTTTTATTCCCAAGGCATAAAAGAAAAGTTAATTCACAGGTATCAGCAGTTTTAAGTACATTTTACTTTATGGGGCAGGTGCTAAATATTAAGAAAAGTTTTACACCAAGTATCAGATTATGAAAAAAACTTATGTTTGTGCTAATGACATGATCAAAATACAATGAAGAACAGAGAAAAGACAACGAGTTTCAGTAGGAAATTACACTGGTCTCTGAGGAGCTACCAGAGCTTACAAGGTAAGAAATTGAACCATTTTTAAAAACTCTCTGAAAAATAGTTAATGATCTAGTAAAAACCAGCTTTTTTTGTTTGTTTGTTTGTTTGTTTCTAAAGCTATTTTTCATTTGACTGCTTCACTTAAAATGTTTCTGGTTTTAATGTCCATACTTACTAATTACAGCATTAAACGGGGACTTTTAACAAATAATTTTACCTCAGATTTAACTTTTGTGAAATCTTCAAAACAACACCTTTAATCCTCAAAGGAGAAAGTTTTTAGTTGCATTTTACAAAGGTGTCACTAGGACATTTGATATCCCTGGACTCAATTTATCTCTACAAAAGAAGAATGAAGTTGATTGGACCAGGCATTTTCCTAGCTCTCCTCTCTAGCTATGAGTCAGAGAAACAACAGCAAAGGTTTATTTCAGAAGGAGCTGAAACCTTGCACAGACACGGCTTCAAATGTGCTACTCACCTTCTGTGGGTTCAGAACTTTAATGACTTGTGTGATGGTCCCCGTATTAAATGCTGGGACAACGCTGCTGCTAGGAGACAGGAGCTGCAGCTGGAATGTCTGCATGGGAACAAAGGGCACCCTTCAGAAAGTGACAGGCAGTGTGCTAGGTCAGAGACATCAACAAATGAAAAGTCAAATACCTAGCAGATGGATCAAGTAGCAAGTTTTCTTAAGTTCTGCCCAAGGTTTGTTTTCCAGATACCACCAATTCATGAAACATGGGTTGAAGGCCTCTCATCAAATTTGTAGAAACCCAGAGTTACCAATCGTGAAAACTTGCAAGGAACCACTTTCCCCTTTCTGGCAGAAGTTTTTAGCCTATCACTTTCCAATTCTTGTTCTGGCAACTTTGCTTAATAGTAACTGATCAACTATCCAAGTAAAGACTAGGTGCTTTTATGTAAGACCTAAAACAAAGTCAGAAAGAAACCAAGAGAAAAGCTTTCCAAACACAGTAAACCAATGTACTAAGCCTTTATGCCTCTGTGGAATCTGAAGATGACTAGGCCCCAGACTTGAACTTTAGTTTTCTGAAGCCTGAAAAATGTGGAACATGTGTGTGAAGGACTCCCCTTACATGAGAAGTGAAGAAAAGGCTTGGAGGAGCCAGCTTGTTAATATGTAAGTGGAACACATTCGGGATTGCTCCATGAACAAGCCATGGCCCTAACAGAAAAAGCATGCAGAGAACCAGCCTACAGAGCAAATGACCAACATAAACTACACACTGTAAATTATTGAGTGTGGATAGCTTTTAACTGTTTGCAGATATGAAACATGGAAGTGACAGTAACAAGCTAGGTAACATACTGTACTAAGAAGCTATGCTATAAACTAGGGTGGTGGCACACACCTTTAATCCCAGCACTTGGGAGGCAGAGGCAGGCGGATCTCTTTGAGTTCAAGGCCAGCCTGGTCCACATAGTGAGTTCCAGGATAGCTGGGGCTACAGAGAGACCCTGTCTCAAAAAAAAAAGACCAAAAAAAAAAAAGCCTTTCCTGAGAGACAGAGAGAGAGACATCTTCTATAAGGTCAAATATTACAAAAGGTCATCAAGATGAATTACATAGCAAAAATGTCATTTGTTATTAATATAGTTCATTAAATTTAAGATACTATCAATTGTAATTCACATCATTGTTTTATGTACTACTAGGAAAGAAAAAGGCTGCCCATTAAACTATGGTAAGATATCAAGTTTGTTTTCCTATAGCATGGGGGATCAATCAGGACCTTGTGCATATTAGACAAATGCTCCTCCACTGAGCCACATCCTCAGTCCTAAGTATCTAATTCAAAAGCACTTCAATTTCAGAGACATAAAAAAAATTAAAAATTAAAATTAAATCCTGCCAGGCATGGTGGCACACGCCTTTAATCCCAGCACTTAGGAGGCAGAAGCAGGCAGGTCTCTGTGAGTTCAAGGCCAGCCTGGTCTACAATAGTGAGTTCCAGGACAGCTGGAGCTACAGGGAGACCCTGTCTCAAAAAGACAAAAAAAATAAAATAAAATAAAAAATAAAAATTAAAGCTGGGCATGGTGGTGCACACCTTTAATCCCAGCACTCGGATGGCAAAAGGCAGTCAGATCTCTGTGAGTTCAAGGCCAGTGTGGTCTACATAGTGAGTTCCAGGACAGCTGGAGCTACAGGGAGACCCTGCCTCAAAAAATGACAAGGGGGTGGGAGATGATAGAAAATGACACAGTAGAATCTATGAAATATGACCTTTTCAAGTTTGAGATACAGCCCAACATCAGAAACAATACCACACTCCAAATGGCAAAGATGATGCTATCAGGCCAGCAACACAGGGCAGTCTACAAAATCCTAAGGTGCAGCAACTGACATTTCCTGAGCACTGAACATGTAAGAAAATGCTACCAGCAGAGTCTGGCACAAGAAGCTCATTTACATTTCAAAGTGACCCAAGGAAGTGGCCACTATTATCACTACTCTCCTTGCAAATGAAGAACATTGGCCAGAGATTAACTGACTTACTTCATGTAATATAACTAGTATTAGAATCAAAAAAGAACAGCTCTAGAATTTATTAGTGCTTCAAAACTACTTTACATCACTGCTTTTAAGGTGTCAACATTATTCTGGCTCCAAAAATCATAAGCAACGTTTAAAAAAAAAAATCAGCAGTAACCACAATAAAACATTTTCAGTCACCAAATACATGCATGAATGCCACACTGCACATGTCACAGAAAGATTAAGCTAGCTTAGTCTAAGCCAGTGGTTGGCAAAGTATGGCCCAACACCCGTTTTCGTAAATAACATTTTATTGGGACAGGACCATGTTCACTCACTTATGTACTGTCTACAGCTGTTTCTGCATTACAACATGACAACAGAACTGAGTAGCAACAGAGAACATACAGCTTAAAATAAGTACTGTTTTGCTGGGTGTGGTGGCGCACGCCTTTAATCCCAGCACTTGGGAGGCAGAGGCAGGCGGATTTCTGTGAGTTCAAGGCCAGCCTGGTCTACATAGTGAACTCCAGGACAGCTGGGGCTACAGGGAGACCCTGTCTCAAAAAGACCAAAAAAAAAAAAAATTTACTATCTTTTTACAGAAAAAAACCTTTGCACTCCGTATTCAAAAAGAAGCACAGCCAGATGTGGTAGCACAAACCTTTAATCCCAGCACTTAATAAACAGAAGCAGGTAGATCTCTGTGAGTTCAAGTCCAGCCTGGTCTATGTATCAAATTTCAGGCTATCCAAGGCTAAATGGTGAGGCTCCTCTCTCAAAAAAACAAAACAAAACCAAGAACATAAATACTCCTTAAATGAATATTTGGTATAAACAAAGCTTCAATTTACAAGACAGCAATCATATCAATAGTAAATTGTAGGTTAATGAAGGAGGAATGTTTCACTCAGGTATTAAGAGACACAAAATTTTAATTCTGGGGTAGACAAGATGGCTCAGTGGGTAAAGGCACTTGCTGCCAAACCATATGACCTAAATTCAATCCTCAGAACCACATAAAGAGGAGAAACTACTCCACAAAGGTATCCTCTGACCTCCATGGCATACAGGCCTCCTTCCCCCATAATAACGCCCCCCCGCACACACACAGACTTTTCAGTGTTTGGCAACAGGGTTTTGGCCTGGAACTCACTATGTAGACCAGGTTGGCCTCAAACTCACAGAGATCTGCCTGCCTCTGCCTCCCGAATGCTGGGACTAAAGGTGTATGCCACTACACCTGGCCACAATTTAAAAAAAAAAAAATTATTTATTATTTTTATTTTATGTGTATGCATGTATTGCCTGCATGTAGGTAAGTGCACCTGTGTGCACCTCCTTTGAAACAAGGAGACCCTGTCTCAAAAAGACCAAAAAAAAAAAAAGTTCATAGATAACTAAAGTATGACTTGGAGGCTGGAAAGATGGCCCAATGGTTAAAAACGCTTGCTGATCTTACAGAGGTCCACATGGTAGAAGAAAACCAACTCCTGAAAGTTGTCCTCTCACATCTCCACTCCCATGCTGTGACACATGTACAACCACGAACACACCATTAAAAACAGCACTGCATGGGGATGGAAAGATGGCTCATCAGTTAAGAGCATTGGCTACTCTTACAGAGGACCTGGGTTTTCAGCACCCACATGACACCCTAACTCTTAGTTCCAGAGGATCTGATGCCCTCTTCTGACCTATATGGGTATTGTACACATGGTACATTTACATACATGTAAGCAAAACACCCATATACATAAAATAAACATTTTTAAGAACTTTTTTTTTTTTCCGGTCTTTTTGAGACAGGGTCTCCCTGTAGCCCCAGCTGTCCTGGAACTCACTATGTAGACCAGGGTGGCCTTGAACTCAGAGATCCGCCTGCCTCTGTCTCCTGAGTGATGGGATTAAAGGCATGCGTCAACACGCCTGGCAGAACTTTTTTAAAAAGAGTAGCTGTAAGTAAAAATCACTCACTAAAAATGACATGCTTCAATGAAACCTCATGATTTTTAACACTTAGCTTAAGTAAATATGAAAAATTAATCTCTAAACACTAAAAATATATTCTTCACCAAATACATGAAACAAAGCTAATTTTTAATCAAAGAAAAAGGGGAAGGAAGAGATTTTAGTACCTTTGGTACTGCAGCTTGGAAAACAAAGTCCGTCATGTCTAGTTCTGTGCTGTTAGAGGCCTGTATCGTTATCACCGTTACACTGGGGTTGGTGTTTGATCGTTCGAAGGTGAACTCTATCTTCAAGCCGTTCTTGTTGTATGCTGTGATGGAGGGGATGCCTAGGAAAGCACAGAAGATCAGTCTTATTGTAGTCAGCTAATGTGTAAAGGATTATTACTTCCTTTCCTCAATAAGCACCACTCATTGCTCAGTGCTCCAGGTGATGATGGAACAGTAACTGTACCTGGGGTGATGTCATTGAAGAGAGGCTGTGACGAAAGTCCATCCAACAAGAAGGGGGGCTGGGATAACTGTGGCACTGAAGCAGGGGCAGGAGCAGCAGCTGGAGCACCTAGAGAGAAAACATTCCAGTGGAGAGTCAACCTCAGGCAGCATGACAACCTCAAGGGAAGGCAGGAGATCTACGGTCTCAGGTTAAGGAAAGGATTCCTAAACAACATGCAGAAAATGCTGACCAAATGGGAAAGAATGAAAAGTTCAGACATTTTAACTTCTTTTTATTAAAAATTACTCTTTAAGAGAGAGAGAGAGAGACAGACAGACAGACAGACAGAGATCTCAAGCTAGGGAAAATGTCTGCTATATAACAACAAATGGCTAAATATTCTGAGTTACACATTATCGTATACAAATAAGAAAAAGATGGTCCAACTAAATTTGTTAAGACATGGGGCTGGAGAGATGGTTCAGAGGTTTAGAGCACTGGTTGCTCTTGCAGAGGACCCAGGTTTGATTCCCAGAACCTATATAACAGACAGCTAACAACGACCAGTAACTCCAGTCCCAGGGGATCCAACACCCTCTTCTGACTTCCATAGGCATTGCACTTACATACATTCAGGCAATGCACTCAAACACACAAAATAAAAATATTTTTTTTTAATGTGGTAAGACAAATGAACAAGCCATTCATTGAAAAGGGAATCTTATAAAAACAATGCTCAGCAGGGCATGGTGGCACATGCCTTTAATCCCAGCACTTGGGAGGTAGAGGCAGACAGCTCTGTGAGATCAAGAGGCCAGCCTGGTCTACATAGCAAGTTCCAGGCCAGCTGGGGCTACAGGGAGACCCTGTCTCAAACCCTGTCTCAAAAACATTGAGCATGTGGGCTTCTTGTTTTGTTTTACTTTGAGACAGGGTGTATCCCAAGCTGACCTCAAACCCAGTCCATGGCTCAGGATGACCTTGAACTCCTGATCTTCCTGCTTCCACCCCCAAGTGCTGGGATTACACCATCACATGGAGTTTACGCAGTGCTAGGGATGAAATTCAGAACTTCCTACATGCTACGCAAGTATTCTATTAACTGACGTATGGCCCCATCCCTGCCTCTGCATACCTTTTAATGCAGACAAGCAGAGTTTTATAGTTGTTTGGGGCTTTTTGAGACCAGGTTTAAACAGCTCAGAATGGCCTTGACTCTCTTTCTTGATCCTCATGCTTCTTCCCAAATGCTGGGACTACAGGCATGCTCAACCAAGCCAAGCTCAAGCATGTGGTCTTTTAAACTTTGCTGTAAGAATGTGAACTCCACCAACCAAACTAGAGAACTTGACAGAAACAGAGTTAAACATCAATAACCTGAAGCTAAGTTCCCTCAACTTTGACACTGCTGAAATTTTAGGCTAGGAAATTCTTTGCTATATTGTGCATTCTAAGATGTCTAGCAGTACCCTGACTTCTAAACACTACCCTGCCCCCAGCTGAGACCCACTGCCCTTCTTAGAATTACTTTTAATTCTTGCACACATATACAAGGAGACAAGTACAAAAAGTATTCACAGTAAGATCATTTCAAACAGTGAATTACTGAAAAGAACCAAAAATATCTATCTTTGCATAACGCATAAATGGTGCTCTACTGATAACGTAAAATATTAAACATATACAACAGTATAGATATGGGCCCAATTAGAAATGTAATTATAAAAGGGATCTCCATGCTCTGCCCACTCCACACAGACCTGAACCACTCTCAACTTTTGTCCAAGAAGCTTCTTTCTGAAGTGGGCAGCAGTCAGTGAAGAGATGCACAAACAGCAGAAGTGATGAGTAACAGGCCAAGTGCTCAGCCCTAAACAGGACACTGTGTTAATCCTACACTACCAAGGCTCAGAAACAAGGAGGAGGAGGAGGAGGAGGCAGAAAGCATGGAAGAGGGGGAGAATGGGGAGGTGTGCTGTGAAATACTGTCTTGTAATGACATGACTACTACCATCTAACTCACAGCACTGGCAGTGAGCTACATAAGACCTACACAAGATCAAGTGAGGCAAAATTCCAGCATAGGTGGTGTACCGGTTAGGGTTTGTCAACTTGACACAAACCAGAAACACCTTGGGCAACTGAGGAATTGCCTCCAACAGACAGGTTAGTTTTTGTCAACCTGACACAAACTAGAGACACTCTGAAAGTGGGTGCCTGTGGCCATGTTCATGGGAACATGGGGTTATATCCATGACTGCTGACTGATGTGAGAGGGCCCAGTCCACTGTGGTTGGCACCATCCCTGGGCAGGGAGCCTAGGCTATATAAGAAAGGTAGCTGAGCAAGCCAGGGGAAGAGGGCCAGGGGAAGCAAGCCAGTGAAGAGCTTTCCTCCAAGAGCTCCCTGCTTTAGCTCCTGCCCTGGCTTCCTGTGATGACAGAATATAAAGTACAATGAAATAAACCCTTTCCTCCCAAAGTTGATTTTGGCCAGTGTTTTATCACAGCAACAGAAAAGCAGATTCTGACATGGGGTAAATGATCTCAGGCCCCCATCCTGCACTGAACATCACTGGCAGTAGATGATTGTTAGGGAGGGGAAATCATTCTTTTTTGAGAATGTGGCCACTGGCAGACTTCCCATGCTCTATCTAGTTCTATGGCCCCACAGCCATATACAAGTGGGCAGTAGTAACTGAACTTTGTGGGCTATTTTTTTTTTTTATTGACTTAGCAGAAGGGCGTATTGGGGAGGACATGGGAGGGGGAAGAAAGGGCAAATAAAATGGGAGGTAGATATAATCATAGTTCATTGTATACATGTAAAAAAATTCTCAAGAGAAAATTTAAAAAATTTCTAAGAATTACAAATTATTTGTAGATTACTCACTCTCTAGAAGAAGTACACACTGACGACACCATGTAAAGATTGGGAAATGGATACTATGCTGAGATGTCTGGGAATGGCAAACACAATGTTCAACACTGCTGAAGAGTAGCCAGCAGGTGCCTCTGCAATCAACAGAAAATGGTGCTTGGGGGCGGGGGAGGGTGGAATGTCTGCCTACTCCTGGGTTTAATTCCCAGCATTAAAAGAAACCTTTTTTATAAAAACAGGAAATGTGCTGAGGAGGAAAACACAGGAAGTATCAATCCTCAACATTTTATTTTACAAGCTAGAAGAGCTAGGCAGCTATTGAATTTCATAGATGCTAAATATTACATAATACAAACTGAACATACACCTTTGAATGGGAAATATGGAATAGGGTGGGGAGTTTTCAAAAATATCACGCATCACCATTTTCATTTGCTCCTCTGACAAGAACATGCTGAGGATCACACACAAAAGGTTAGGTGTGGATCGTGGCTGTGCACCAGAGAGATAAAGACTCCACATAAAGACACAGGAAAATCAACAAGATAAAGAGAATACACTTTACATTTTAAAAGGTTCCAACCATTTACAAATTTAAATGAAAATACACCATTTTAAAAAGAATTGAAAGAGCCAAGTATAGTGGCAGATGACTGTAACTTCAGGGCTTAGAAGACAAGGCCACCAGGGCTTGGACTCCAGTCCTGCCAGGGAGGACTCCAGAGCAAGCTCTTGTCTGGAGGAATACACACACACACACACACACATGCAAAATTAAAATAAAGAATAAAGGGTATAATAATTCAGCAGTAAATCATATGCTTATTACTTAATTCAACTCCCAGCATGCTCCCTCTCCCAAAAAAGAATTGATACAATGAAATGAGTAATGGGCTACCTCTTATTGAGGGAAAAAAAAAAAAAAAAAAAGATAAGTAACCAGTACTAATGCTGGGCTCAGGAATTCAAGTTGTACTGAATGTATTAGAATAGGGAATTAAGAATTTAAGAATTGTATTGAATGTAATAGAATTAAGAAACTAAGAATCAAAAAAGAACTCTAGCAAAAGTATGTAAACAAATCCAAAGTGTGTACATTAAAGATAAGAGCATCACTTAGTAGCCCTAGAATGTAACCTAGCAACCTGAGTGTAACTGTGTGATACGCCAAATGACGTAAGCAACTGATAAACATATGTTCGCCAAGTCATGCATAAGGACTATAAAAACCCAGAGGAAGATCAGTTCGGGGGCGCACATATGAGCTGAACTCCTGTCAGCTGTGCAGCCCCATCTTCTGACTGATCCCGTCTCTGGGCCGTGAGAAAAAGAGGAACTTCACATCGCGAACATCCGAACCTGACTCAACCACCAAGCTGAGCCAAGACTACCGTCACTCAGGCATTGGCCCTAGGACTGGTACTCTTATCTGCCATTGTGTTATGTGTGAAATTTGTTTATGATTCCCCAAATAAATGCATCGAAAGACACTGGCTCTAGAAATATTTATCCTCCCTCGCATAACGACGTGATGCTCAACTAAGCCTTAATAACTCCACTCACGGCAAAGTTTATCCTCACCTACACAGCAAACTTAAGGCCAGCCTGGGCTACCTGAGATCCTTTCAAAACATAGTTAACAATCCTCCCACCTCCCCAAAAAGGAACACAAGAAAAACATCCAACATACTGAGCTAAGGATTCAGCAAGCAGAAGAGTTCAATCCCCATCACCAAATAGATCCAATACAGTAAAAGGTGGCAAGGTAAATACAGGTGTTGAAAAAAGCACAAGAAGCAAAGAAATGCAACGAATATGCAGTCAAGCAGAGGTCAAAGAGGAACCCAAAGAAAGACTTCAATGTCATTCTCTTGTATATCTAATGTAATGCTGCTGCTGATTCCCATTTTTAAAGCTATCATAGAACTATGTGTAGAAAATCAAAGTCCAGGGGCTGGAGAGATGGCTCAGCGGTTAATAACACTTGCTGTTCTTCCAAAGGACCCGGGTTCGATTCCCAGCACCCACATGGCAGCTAACAATCATCCATAACTCCAATTCCAGGGGATCCAACACCCTCTTATGATCTCTGTGGGGCATCTGCACACACATGGTGCACTTACAAACATGCAGGCAAAACACTCATACATAAAATAAAAATAATGAATACTTAAAAAACAAAAAGAAAGGAAAAGGAAATCAGAGTCTAGCTTAACTCCCTCAAGTTTGAATTTTTCTCTTGATAAGTAGTTTGGGGAACAACAAAAATCTGCTGCTCAAAACTTAAAAGTACATGCTATGTTGGGCTGGAGAGATGGCTCAGCAGTTAAGAGCACTGGCTACTCTTGCAGAGGATCGGGTCTAGTTCCCAGTACCCACACAGTGGCTAACAATCACCTGTAACTCCAGTTCCAGGTATCCTCTGTTCTGGCCTCCAGGGGCTCTAGGCACATACATGGTATTCACACATATAGGCAGGCAAATACTCATACACATAAAATAAAAAAAAAAAAATTAAATTTAAAAAACTAGGGCCAGGCATGGTGGAGCACACCTTTAATCCTAGCACTCGGGAGGCAGAGACAAATGAATCTCTTTCAGACCAGCCTGGTGGTCTACATAGCAAGTTCTGGGCAAGCTGAGGCCACAGGGAGACCCTGTCTCAGAAATAAAAATAAAAGAATAAAAATACTGTAACTATTTTCAAATTTCAACTTATTTAAATTACTGTATAATGGGGCTTACCCGTAAGATTACAAAGTCCGTAACTAAACATTTTTAACCTTGAGCTAGAAATACACTCAGTGATAAAGTCCTTGCTAGCATGTGTGAGGCCCTAGGTTCAATTCCCACCACTACAAATTATTACCTTAGAAAAAGAAAATGGGAAAACATGTTTAGAATACATTGTAACTAAGGGGAAAAAAATCTAGGCTTCTAATATGTTATTGCTTCATTTTTCTTGTTGTTGTTGTTGTTTTGGTTTTTTTGTCTTTTTGAGACAGGGTCTCCCTGTAGCCCTAGCTGGCCTGGATTCGCTATGGAGACCAAGCTGGCTTCGAACTCATAGAGATCCACCTGCCTCTGCCTACCAAGTGCTTGTTTTTACACTAAAAGAAAAGCAAAGTGAGAAAAAAATTCAAAATGAAATATTAAGACCTCATAATAAATGAGCTGAGGATACACAAAAAGTAATGCTCAAAAAGGAAATTCCAAGGCTGAGGAGATGGCTTGGTCAGTAAAGTGTTTCCCACATAAGCATGAGGGCCTGACGTTCAATCCCCAACACCCACAAAGAAAGCCAAGTACTGGTGGCAGGGGGCCTATAATCTTAGAGCTGGGGAGATAGATAGAGAACCCCTGGAGCTCAGTGCCCAGCTAGTCTTTTCCAAGTTGGTGATCTCCAGTCTCAGTGAGAGACCCTGTTTCAAAAAATAAGATGGAGAGTGATAGAGGAAGACACGCATGCATATGGGTGATTCATCTATAATACAAATATGTAGTTAAGTATTAAGCATTCTCTCTGAGTAGAAAAAAAAAAATCATACAACCTATCTTTTACCTATTAGGGCTTTTTATGAGAGAAAGGGGGGTAGTAAGTCTCCTTGCAGCTCCAGCTAGCCTGCAACTCACTCTGCAGACTAGATTAGCCTTGAACCACAGAGATCCACCAGCCTCTGCCTCCTGAGTGCTAGGATCAAAGGTGTGTGCCACCATGCCCAGCAGCTATTACAGCTTTTAAAAAACACTACTATAAACAGAATGCAGTGGCGTACACCTTTAGTCCCAACACTTGGGAGGCAGAGGCAGGTGGATCTCTGTGAGTTCAAGACCAGCCTGGTCTGCATAAATGAGTTCCAGGTCAGCTGAGGCTAAAGAGAGACTATCTCAAAAAGACCAAAGAAAAAAAACAATACCATCAGGGTTTGAGAGCTGGCTCAGCAATTAAGAGCACTGGTTGCTCTTGCAGAGGACCTGGGTTCAGTTTCCAGTGTCCATATGATGATTAACGACCATCTACAATTCCAGTTCCAGGGGTTCCAATGCCCTCTTCTAGCCTCCATGGGCATTGCATGACATGGGTATACTTACATACATGCAGGCAAAACACTCATACACATAAGAAAATAAAAATTTTTAAAAAGTTTAAATACTATAATGTACAGCAAAACTAGGGGCCATGTAAACTGAAAAAAATTAATGATAAATGACATTTACCTAGTAAATTGCATTAAGTTCATCAGTAATCCTCAGAAGTACCTCCCAAGGTTAAGTTTTGATTACATATATATGCATGTTTGTTTTTTCTGTACATCCAAAAATGATCTTGAATTCCTGATCCTTCTGCCTCTACCTCCCAGGTGCTGGGTTTACATATACCCACATACATATATTTACATATACATAATACTTTATTCTATTTTTATTTAATTATTTATTTATTTGGTCTTATTGAGACAGGGTCTCCCTATAGTCATAGTTGACCTGGAACTCCCTATATAAACCAAGCTGGCCTTGAACTCACAGAAATCCATCTGCCACTGCCTCTGTGTACCACCATGCCCAGCACCATAATATCTTATTTTAACCAGATTCAGAATGACTTATGAGTAACTTAATCTAAGAAAGGCATATTGATATAATGATATATGAAGTAGATTTAAAAATGTAGGAACAAGCTGGGCGTTGTGGTGCATGCCTTTAGTCCCAGGACTCAGGAGGCCAGAGGTAGGCAGATCTCTGTTCAGTTTAAAACCAGCCTGGTCTACATAGTGAGTTCCAGGCCAGCTGGGACTACAGAAAGACCCTATCTCAAAAAGACCAAAAAAAAAGTAGAAACAAACAAACAAAATGGCCCAAGAGTAAAGACTTACATAAATAACAGTATACATTTATTTGGTTTTGTGGTGGCTTTTTTTGGTGGTAGAGGTTGCTTGGGTTTGTTATTTGGTGAAACAAGGTCTCACTATGGAGTCAAGGCTGGTCTTAAACTCAAGATTTAAGTGCTGGGATTATAGGCAATGTCACCATGCACAACTAATATTGCATATTTCTAGATAAAACATTAGACAACCATTGAAATTTAGTCATCAAGGCATAGTGGAAGTCCTTTCTATCTTAAAATACTATGAATAATTCATTCTTCCAAATTACTAAGTTAACTTTTAAGAAATCCCTATAATTGGGGGCTGGAGTAGATGGCTCAATGGTTTAAGGGCCCTTGCTGCCCTTGCAAAGGATCCAGGGGTTTGGCTGTAAGAACCTACATGGCAGCTCTGCTGCCCTCTTCTAGCCTCTGCAGGCAAGGTATGGCATATACACACCCTTGTACTTATACATACATACTTGCACATGTAAAATAACAATAGATAAAAGGAATTTTGTTGTTGTTGCTTTCATTTTTTGAGACAAGGTCTCCCTATGTAGCTCTGACTGGCCTAGAACTCTCTATGTAGATCAGGCTGAACTCAAACTCAGAGAGATACACCTGTCACTGCCTCTCAAGTGCTGGGACTAAGGGCATGCACCACCACTTCCAGCTGCAATAAATAAATCTTTAAAAAAAAAAAAGGAGGAGGAGGAGGAGGAGGAGGAGGAGGAGGAGGAAGACCCTATAAATTACCTTTGGAGCATTAACATGGCAGCTTATATCCCAGATGTTGTAATGGTCTATCCTTGTTTCTCACCAGACTCTTCCTCCTTCCACTGACTCAAGCTCTGGAAAATGCACTCAGTATCATTTGCCCTGGGGCTCTATCCCTATCCAAACAGGACATAGCCCCAATCTGGCCTCACCTGTGAGGGTGATATCTCCCAGCAAATCAAGAAGTTCTCCACCAGCAGAAGCAGGCTTGCTTGTAGGTGCAGTTGGAATGACAGGTGTTATGTCATTTCCTCCCAACAAATCCAATAAATCATTAGCCTAAACAAGGAAATGACACCTTATTCATTAGTTAACCATCTAAACTATATTTAATACAAAGCTCTTTCAATATTAAATTAAGGGGCTACAGAGATGGCTCAGTGGTTAAGAGCACTGGCTGCTCTTGAAGACGACCCAGGTTCAAATCCCAACACTATGTGATGACTAACAACCATATGTAACTCCAGTTCCAGGGGATCTGAAACCCCTTCTGTCCTCCACAGGTATTGCACAACACAGGTGCACTTACATACACTCAGGCATAACACTCATACACATTAAAAAAAAAAAAAAAAAACTAAATTAAGGAAGGGGATCATAAAGCAATCTGAAAACACTGAAGGGTGCCAGTCAGGGAATAAGCTATGAGAACTATAAGCATCGGGAGCCCAGACAAGTAAGCAAAAGGCTACCTGGCTGGTGGGTTGTGGCCCAGAGGGTGGTGGTTTAGTTTCTAGTGGAGCTGGTTCTGTCTCTCCATTTGTTTGCACAATCTCAGATGGGCCATTTGTGGTCACTTTTTCCATGACAGGCATTCTTTCAAGGAGGGCAGACCTAGAAGAATCTGAAGTGGTTAAATTCTAGGCAGTTAACCTAGACTCCCTACACAAAACAATCACTATTAACTATTAATTTTGAAACTTATGGAGAGCCATCTCCCCTCCCTACCCAACACACACACTAAAATAGGAGGTGGATTATAAGTGTACATGCATGACCTAAATTCCTCACAAGATTAAGGGCAGGCTAGAAACCCTGAATAAGCAAAATGTCCACCTAAATCCCAAAACACATATTTTCAGTGGCATGGACTAGGATGAAAGAAATGGAAATCAATATGTGCTAGCAGGTCCAATCAAGGCAGTAGATACTACATAATAGAAAGGGGAAGGAAAAAAAGACAACAATGCCAAGATGTTACCAGTAATGAAATGTGAATGAAAATATGCCTCTTGAAAAAAAATACAATTGCCTCTTAAACCCCCCAAAAAAATAAAAAAGGCAAATGATGCAACTTTAGATAGCAAGCAGGCATGCAATGAAAGAACACACGTTGATTGAAGAGAAAAACACAAAAGGTTGTCAGAAGAGAAAAAGAACAAAACAGAAACCACCAAACAGTGAGAAATAAAGAGCTGTAAGACCCAATTAACACAGCACAGGCAGGGAGCCTCCTCCAGGGTCAGCAGGGGGGTCACTCAGGATGCTACAGGCATGTGCACTGCTTGGTTTCTTTTGCTCACCTCATGTGGTCATATTTCTTAAAAAGTGCATTATATTCTACTGCCCTCTGCTGGAGCTCTACATCGATGCTGCTTCCATAGATGGAAACCACTTTCTTAATTCGGCTGTGGGATAAAAATGACAAATGAAATCAAACACACACACACACACACACAATGAAAATGTTAAGACCAGAGTTTTCTGCTTAAAATTTTGGAATATCCAGGTTTCTATAATTCACATAATTTTTCAAAATCAAAATACCATGCTTTGTCTTCATTCATTCAACACTGACCATTACATTATTCGGCTTGTAATGCTTCCTTTAAGTCTAAGTATTCCATGCACTAGAACTTGCTAGAGGGCTGAGAATATAGCCCAGAGTTATAGCACTTGCCTAGCATGAGGCTCTAAGTTCAATTTCTAGCACCCAAAGAAACAAACAAAAAAAACAAACGGCACAAACTTGCTAGACTTTGTCAGAACAGAAAATCTGTACTGTTCTTCTCTTCTTTAGTAACTAAAATAATGTTTTAGCATCAGAATGCTCACCATAAACCCTTGCAATTACCAATTTAAAAAGTCAAAAATAACATTTCTCACAAAACCTTACATTAAAAATGAAACAGAAAGCTTAGGAAAACTAACTTTGTTGGAAAAACTGGCTCAGGTCAATTTTTATTCAAATAGCACAGAATAAAACTTAAATACAAGTCGGGCATGGTGGTGCTTGCCTTTAATCCCAGCACATGGGAGGCAGAGGCAGGCGGATCTCTATGAGTTCAAGGCCAGCCTGGTCTACATAGGCAGTTCCAGGCCAGCTGGGGAGACTCTATCTCATAAAGACCAAAAAAAGAGATTTAAGCACACAAAAAAATGATTTTATTCCTATACTTACATCTCAGAATATAATAAAACTTCATGGGAAAATGGTAGAAATAATATTAAAAAATATAACTTTAGCTACAAAATAATTCACAGTAGGGTGGGGAAATGGAAGAGGAAACTACATGTGGAATAAGGAGCTACTAGGAATTGACCACTGTGTCTGGGGCTAAGAAAATACAAACTCATTTTACTACTGTCCCTACTTTTATCTGAAGTTTTCCATAATAAACTTCTGTTTTGAGACAGGATCTCATATGGCCCCGGCTGGCTTGACATTCACTGTGTAGTAAAGAACGACCATAGTGGTGATCAAACCCAGGGTCTTGAATATGTTAGGCAAGCACTCTATTAAATGGGCTACATTCTCAAGCCATAATAAACCATTTCTTAAATTATGGAAGAGGCTAGGGAGGTGGCTCAGTCAGTGGTTCCCACACAAGCATGAGGACCTGAGCTCAGATCCCCAGGCACCACATAAAAAGTCAAGTGTGGTGGAGAGAGTCTGTAATCTAGTGATGAGGGAGACACAGGGGTTCCCTGAGGCTTGCTGGCCAGCTAGTCTTGCCAAATCAATGAGCTCCAGGTTCAGCGAGACAAAAAACCCTGTCTTCAAAAGGTGAAGAGTGATAGGATGAAGATACCCAATGTCAACCTCTGGCCTCCACATGCATGCATACATGCGCACGTGCATGCACACACACGTGCACACACACACACACACACACAAGCATGTGCACATGCATATACTACACACAAGCACATACACAGAACAAACTACTGGCTCTACTCCTCAATACTCACTTTACAGTACAGGTAAATCGAGTAGACAGCTTCATAATGGCAGTGAGAGCATAACCTCGTGTCACAGAGGTGGACATATTAGAGATTAGGACACTTTCTAAAATATCTAAAACTTCGTCCTCAGTTACCTGGGAAGGAAAAAGAAGACAGAATGTAGAATGAATGGTAACAATCAGAGGATGCTACCAACTACTGCAAGAGCCTCTAACACAGCTTGTGCTATGCTGTTCCACTCATCAGAAGCAGGTTAAAAAAAAAAAAAAGACTGCTGGAGCTTGGGGGGCTATTCTAGTTTAAGTGGCAGAACAAGAAATATATAAGACACAAACAGTTCAAAGGTTGTCGCCAAGACACTCTCAAAAATCAATCCTCCAGAGAGCAAATGCAGATATGAATACGTGTCCCTTTTCTCCTAATCACCACAGGGTAAGAGAAACCATAATTCAGTTTGCCAGGCTGAAGAGTGAGGTATAAAGCAGTCATGTTTTTGTTTTGGGTACTGGAGATTGAATCTACCACCATCTACAACTGAGCTACATTCCCAACCCCACTAAAATGGTTTTGAAATCTTACAGTGACTCAAGAGGTTAACACTTCCATCAATGCTAGGTTTCCAAATACAATTCTACATTACTTCATTAAAAAGTTTCCAAAGGATCAACTTCAACTCCTCATTACACATTACTCTTCTTCTAATCCAAAACATTGCTTCTCCCCTTCTTAGCCAAGAGTAACAGTGGGATACCTGAATAGGTTCTTCCTCTTCACACTGGCCAGACACAAGAAGATCTCCATATTCACCTATGCACCATGCAGCCACTTGTACCAAGGGTTGCTGCCAAAGAAAGCCAAAGACTTCAATCTTCCCAAAATACTGTGTGTTTGTGCACAAGTGGAGGCCATAAGACAGCCTTTGGTGTTCCTCCTCGGGCACTGTCCTCCTTATTTTCTGTATAGTATTTGTGCATACATGTGCATGTGTGAGTGAAGGTTCAAGATTGGCATCGGGAGTCTTTCTCACTCACTTTCCACATTATTCACTGGGGCAGGGTCTCTCAGTTGATCACAGAGCTCATGGATACAGGTAGTCTAGCTACCCAGCTTGTGTAGGGTGTGGGGATCCAAACTATGGTCCTCATGATTGCCGCTTGTACAGCAAGTGCTAATTTAACCACTGAAATGTCTCTTCAGTTGCATCCTCACTAGCTGTTATCTGCCTGTCTTCTCCTCTCCAGATCTGGGATTATAACCTTTTACAACCACACCTGGATTTTTTGTAAGCATTGAGTTCTGGGGATCAAACTCATGCTTGCAAACTCAAGAACTTAGCTATTGCCTCAACCCCCAAGAACATTTAACGTAAATTATACATCACCTAATCATGAAGTTCAAAACTTTTTATATGTGGAGTATTAATGACATGGAGGAGGGAGGGGGATTTTAAAGAGAGAGAGAGAGAGAGGGATGATGAGAGTATGCTTCCCAAGTAGACTAACAGCAAATGAAGTACTTACTTGAGAATAATCACCAAGAATTGCCTTGTACAAGCGCTGGACGGTATAGGCATGCATCTCGACACTATTGGTTATTAACTGGATCAAGTTGGGGACTGCATCATCACGAACGTAACTTCCTGCCTAAAAGGAAATGCAGAATTACCCTAGAACACACAGCAATGATAACAAATACTGTTCAACAGTTTTGCCCACTATTGTTGAAAAAACACCACAAAATACTCTCAAAGCTAAACGTGGTTCTGCTTTTCAGGTCCGTAAACAGCCGAAGCTAACAAAAATGTAAAAGTCTAACTAAAACACATGAAACCTTTAATTCTACCAAAAGAAAAGAATCATCTCTGTCAAAATTAAAATCCAAAGTTTCAAAATTCCAAGAATTTTTTTTTTTCTACTTAAGTAAACCCTGAATTTCAAAAATTTAAAGAATGTTTTCACTGGAAACTTAAATTACCAGCTCTGCTTTCCCACAACCCCCTGACACCGTGTTAAAGCCCAATAGGCAAGAGGCTGGTAGACTGGGGGAAGGAAGTGGGGGCACCCGTGTACAGTGAGAACGGTCATATGAACTCTGTTGTTTTGTGGTGGGCATACAAACTCAGTGTTGGGATCAAACCTAGGGTTTTAACAAATGCTAGGCAAACACTCTATCACTAAACCATACCCCAGTATAGCATATTAACTTTTAAAAAAACAATCTTATTTAAAATATCACATAGTCATTTGAAAACCAGTATTTAGAAATATTATACATCAGTAATAGTCCTAGGGATGGAAGATACTTTGTATTTTATTCACAAATTTATTTAGGCCTGGCACAGATTGAGCCCAGGGCTTTGTACATGCTAGGCAAGTGCTCTACCACTGAACCTTACCTCCAGCCCTTTTTGATTTTTACTGTGTATGTGTCTGTGTGTGGCCGATTCAGGTACACATATATCATGTGCATGTGGCAGTCAGAGGTCAATGTCTACTGTATTTTGGGAGACAGTGTCTCTTACTGAGCCTGGAGCTTACCAATTTAGCTAGGCCAGTGAGCTCCAGGAATCTCTCTGCTTCCCCAATGCTGGGACTCTAGGAGTGCTCCACTACGCCCAGCTTTTTTCTTTACATGGTGCTGGGGAATCAAACTCAGGCCCTCATATTTGCTTAGCATGGTACCTAGCTGAGCCATCTCCCCAGCTCATTTTTTATTTTGGAACCACAGTCTAAGTCGTCCAGGCAGGCCTTAAAGGCCTTGAACTTTTGCTTCCCTTGCCTCAAGCTCCCAAGTAACTAGGATTACAAGTTTGTTCCACAAGAACCAGCTTTTTCTTTTTCAACCTCATCTCTTTGCTGTGCTCCCAACTAATAGGACCTAGGCAGTACCTGCAACCATGACAAGTAAAGCTACTTAACCTGTGGGGAAAAGAAAAGAGCATCATAACTAACTGAACAGGACAACAGAATCCTGCCTAGTGTCAGCCAGCCGTGGTCCCTCACCCATTGCTGAATAGAACAGCAGAGGTGACTTGAAGTATTAGAACTCTCATTATTAATAAACACGAAAAAAAAAATGGGCAAAAGGAAAGTGGGAAGCTAAGAAGCTAGTAATCTGTGGTGTGCTTTACGTATTTGCAGACTTCCCTTTTAGAGTAGAGTGCTTTCAAAGAGAGAGCATCACCACAATCTAAGAACTGTAAACTACTGTATCCAACAATAAAACATGCCTTTTCCCAAATTCATACTGACTCAAAAACAAAACAAAACAAAAAAACTACATTTCTGGCCATAAGAATTAGCTTAGCTTAATGAATTTACAAGAATAGAAATCAAGGGCTCCATACTGAGACACTGCCTCACAAAAAGAACAGAAATCATACACGTAAGGTGCACAGTGGCTTGCACCTGCAACCTCAGCAGTTGGTTGGCTGAAGCAGGAGGATTGCCACAAGTTCAAGGTCAGACCAGGTCATACTAAATTCAGGCCAGCTTGGACTAGACCCTGTCTCAAAACAAAACATGTTCTTAGATTACAATAATATTAAACTAGGTATTACTGATGCAAGAATATTTGAAAAATCCATCTGGAGATAAAATAGCATATTTCTAAATGAAATATGACCAAAGAAAGCACTCAACTACTATCTTTCATGAATTTAAGTACAAAACAGAAGCAAATCAGCTGGGCATGATGGCACAGGCCTTTAATCCCAGCACTTGGGAGGCAGAAGCTGGTGGATCTCTGTGAGACTGAAGCCAACCTGGTCTACATAGTGAGTTCCAGGCCAACTTGGGCTACAGAGACCCTGTCTCAAATAAAAAAAAAAAAAAAAAAAAAAAAAAAAAAGCAAATTAAACCCTACAATGTGTATAAAGATTGATGCAACACAATTACAGGGATTTGTTCCAGGTTTGAAAAGCTGGTTCAACATTCAGAATGCAACTAATATAATTCAGCACATCAAAAGGCTAAAGGGGGGGCTAGAGAGATGGCTCAGCAGTTAAGAGCACTGACTGCACTTGCAGAGCACCCAAGTTTGAGTCCCAGCACCAACATGATGGCTATGAACCATTCTTAACTCCAGTTCCAGGGGAATCCGAAGCCCTCTTCTGACCTCTGCGGCATTGCATGACACGGGTGTACTCACATACATGCAGGCAATACACTCATACACATAAAATAAAAAAATAAAATAAAGTACTTAAAAAAAAAAAAAAAAAAAAGGCTAAAGGGGTCAGCACGATGGCTCCCAGGGCACTTGCCACCAAGGCTGATGACAGCCTACATGATACAAAGAGAGAACCAACTCCTGAAAGGTCCTCTGATATCCACAGGCGCATGTGCATGCATGTGCGCACACACACAAATTAAAGAAAAAAAATTTAAAGGGCTGAAGAAAAATTATACAATCACCACAAGTCAGCTGGAAGAATGAAAAGCAGAAGCATTTCCAGTTTCCAGCTTACCTAAGTATTTCCGATAGGAGCTCTAATTTTCCCCTTTTTTGGAGGCTCACAAAAAAAAAAAAAAACAACAACAAAGAATGAACGTCCCATTTCATCATGGGTTTTTTTTGGGGGGTGGGGTGAGGGTGTTGTTAGAATATACTTATTTCTCATTATCAATAACATTTATTAACTTTTAGCCTTCTAGGCAAAATAAAAACTAGTATGTCCCAGACAGAATTCCATGCAACAAATACATTTTCACTGTTGTTTTGTATAATGGTAGGGTCTTACTATGCAGCCTAAAGTGGCCTAGAACTGACTCTATAGCCCAGGCTAGCCTTCAACTCATGACAATCCTCTTGCCTCAGCCTCTCAAGTGCTAAGATTACAAGTATAAGCCACCATGTCAAGTAATAAATGCACCTAAATCATAATTTCCTGGACCAATTCACCTTTGAGTACTAACAACTACTTCCAGTTTTTAGGGGTATTATTGAAACATGGTCTCACTATGTAGCATTGGCTGGCCTGGAACTTGCTATATAGACCAGGCTAGCCTCAAACTCAGACATCTGCCTGCTTCTGCCTCCTGAGTGCTGGAATTAAAAGTGTGCACCACCACACCTTCCACTGAGTTTGATGCCATTAAAAAATAAAATTAAGACGAGTATTTTTGCATGTACATTTTTGTACACTTGTTTTTTTATTCATCCAAGTCAAAGTACTAAAAATTAATGAAGCAAAACACATTAATATTTTTGCTACGTTACCAAACTGCACTTTGAAAAGATATCACCATGTTATACCTCCATCAAGTGAAGAATGTGGCTTGCTTTTTCGCCATTTAAAAAAATCTTTATTACAATTTCATTTATTTTATGTGCATGCATACATATGTTTGTGGATGTCTATCATGTATGTATAGAAATCAGAGGACAGCTTTCAAGACTCAGTTCTCTCTTCTAACATTCCAGGGGATATAACTCAGGTCTTCAGACACCTTCACCTGCTGAACCACCTGCCAGCCCTCTTTATTTTTAAGACAGGGTCTCCCTGTAGCCCCTAGCTGGCGTGGAACTCACTAAAGAGACCAGGCTGCCCTCTATCTCACAGAGACCACCTGCTTCTGCCTCCTCAGTGCTGAGATTAAAGGCATGTGCCACCATGCCTGGCATGTTTATTTTTTTAATCAACTTTGTATTTCAAAGTATAACAGAAGCCAAGAGAGCTGCTCACACCTGACCTCCCAACTAACTGGATGGCCAGCCTGGGAATCACAGTGAGACCTTGTCTCAAAAAGACAAAGTTTGAGGCCAGGTATGGCAGAGCATCCCTAGAATGATACTCAGAAACCAGGCAGATGATCAGGAACTTAAAGCCATCCTTAACTGCATACCCAGTTAAGGCCAGCCTGAGCTACATGAGACCCAGTCTCAAAAAAGGCAAAAGGGGACTGGAACACTCAGTTAAGTGCACTGGCTGCTCTTGCAGAGGACATGAGTTCGAATCCCAGTACCCATAAGGCAGCTAACAACCACCCATAACTCCAGTTCCAGGGGATTTGATGCCCTCTTCTGACTCCCAAGGGCACTGCACAACACAGGTACACTTAACATACATGCAGGCAGTATACTCATACACAATAAAATATTAAAATAAAAATAAAATCTTGCTTTGTTTTCATTTTACTAGTTCTTTCTTTCTTTTTTTTTTTTGGTCTTTTTGAGACAGGGTCTCCCTGTAGGCCCAACTGTCCTGGAACTCACTATGTAGACCAGGCTGGCCTTGAACTCACAGAGATCCACCTGCCTCTGCCTCCCAAGTGCTGGGATTAAAGGCGAGCACCACCACGCCCAGCCATTTTACTATTTCTTTACTAATAAAGGTGTTTTCATTTGTTAGACATTTCCTTCTCTTTTTGTGAACTGCTTATTCGAATACCAATTATTTCATTCATCCAATTTCTTTCCTAGCTTATTTATGTATTTAAATTATTAGCTGGGTATGGTGGCACTCAGGAACAGAGGTAGGTGGATCTCTGAGATAGAGGTCAGCCTGGTCTACATAAGCTCCAGGCCAGCTGGGGCTACAGGGAGATCCTGTCTCATAAAAACAAAGAAAAATAAATAAATATGCTATCGTGACAAATGTTTTCTCCTACTTAAGTGTTGGAGATATAAGTTTTCTCTTTGCTTTAACAAGTCTCTAATTTTAATGCAGCCATTTTTGTAAATACTGCCCTTTCTGGCACCCACTTCTAGTCATGACCCAGTTTATCTCCTTACTCTGCAATCACACTCTGAGCTAACTGGTTAACAAAACAAAGAAACCCTCACATCCTAGAAGAATGCCAAAGAAAGGACACACATTAAACAGAAGCTATAAAATGAATGTAACATCTGAAACTTTGCAATAACTAAGTGAGGGATTGGCTCAGAGTTAGAGTGTTTGCCCAGTGTGTGCAAGGCCTAGGGTGTGATTCCTAAAGCTGCAAGGCAAAGAACAGCAACATCTTCCTATCATATTAAATAAGGTCTGAACCCGATGGGCCCTGCATGATCTGGCTCCTGTTTCTGTTTCATCCCAATCTATCTGCCTCGCTGCCTCTGCTGGCCCCACTTGTCTTTTCACTGTTGTTCAGCAGGCCAAGTCTGTTGCTACCCCAGGCCTTTCCTCTTACTGTCCCCAATGATTAGGACTCTCTTCCCCAAGATCTTCGCATGGCTGTCCCTCCTTTCACTAAGCTCATTACTCCAATGTACCTCCTCTGACACCACCTCTGACTACACTACTTCCAACCCTTCGCCAGTCAGATTCATACCACCATAGCTTGCTATCAGTTGTACTCCCCCATGCTGTTTCAGCTTTTATGTTACACATCTATCCCTTCTTTGCATTATGTCATGGATTTTTCTCATCTGTTACGTATTTCCAATCTCTCCCGAGTGTACGCTCCACGGAACAAAGGCTTTATCTACCCCATTTCTAAGTGCACCTAGCATACAGTCTGGGCTTAAACAGCTACTTACCGTCGTCAGGACTCGCATGATTGTATCGATATGCCACCTCTTGGAAGGTGCATACCTGAGAAGACAATGGCACAGGGTGAGAACACTGAAATCTGTAAAGTGCACTGTATTCAGAGACTTCAAAAACCCTGTTCTTTGGCAGGTACCCTAGGTTAGCAATTCTATTAAACTAGCAGAAATCACATTTCAATGAATGATCAAATATAATCAAACTTGCATTTCTATTATAATAGTAGTTGAGCTGAAGAAAAAAACAGGACTTTGCCCCAGTTTCTCAAAAGACAAATTATAGATCAGGGAAGAAGATAAAGAATAAACAAAGAGGGTTGAGAAGATGGCTCAGTGCTTAAAATACTTGCTGTGCAAGCCTGAGGAGCAGAGTCTGGATCCCCAGACCTATATAAATGAAGGTGGGTGTGGCAGCCTGGCTGTAAGTCTAGCCTGAAAGGAGGAAACAGGGAATCCCCAAAGCAAGCTGACTACTGAGACTTATCCAAATGGGGTAGCTCTGTTTTTGCCTGAGACCTTCCCTCAAAGAGTAAGGTGGAAGAGTGACTGAAAATGATTCCAGACATCAACTTCAGGCCTAAAACATGCACTCACATCTACACTAATGCAGACCCATGTGTACATGCACCCACACATGCACAAACATACACACATGAAAAGAGAAAACTGCCGGGTGTGGTGGCGCACACCTGTAGTCCCAGCACTTAGGAGAAGAGGCAGGCGGATCTCTGTGAATTCAAGGCCAGCCTGGTCTACATAGTGAGTTCTAGGACAGCTGGGGCTACAGGGAGACTCTGTCTCAAAAAGACGAAAAAAAAAAAGAAAGAAAGAAAAGAGAAAACTGGAGTTTCTGTGGTGATGCACACTTTCAATCCCAGCACTCAGGAGGCAGAGGCAGGCAGATCTCGGTGAGTTCCGGGCCTCCTGGGATTACAGGGAGACCCTGTCTCAAAAAGACCCCCAAAAGAAAAGAAAAACGGGGGGGGGGGGGATGAGAACAAAAGACTTTCCCCAGACATTGGGAAGAGCAGGACTGAGAACCCGTTCCTTCAAATTCAGAGCGGAAAGAAGAGAAAGAATCGTTACACTATAAAATCAACTTTGTGCTTCAGGTTTTACACAGAACTTCGGACCCTTGAACTTTTTTTACCTTCATAAAAACAGTACCACAGATGAGAGGCTAACAAACAGATTGGGAGAAATTTCAAAAAAGGCAAATTATATTTCGTCTTAGCCTATTTCAATATTGGCTTTCCTTAACAGCTAACTTATAATTCAGAATCCAAAATAAACCTCACATGCTTTAACATGTCTGCAGCAACCCACTTGACTTCATGCTTGTAAGATACTTTCACAAAGTTCCAAGCACCTTTTACCAATACAGATTAAAAAAATTAAATCTTACTTTTCTGCAGCAAGAAAGATTCCAGACGCACAATCTGCTTTAAATTCTGGCTCACATGAATCCAGAAAATAAAGTAATTCCTTCATCATGCCTCGGATATTATTCCCATTTACCAGGGCAAAACTCAATTCCATTGCACGCCTTGCAGAGAGGAAAAAAAAAGGGGGGGGGGGACAAATATGACATTTACAATGGGAATGGCACAAATAGCCAGGTATGTTCTCTGAATACACAGCAAGAAAATTTATTCATATGCTAGCTCTGATATTGTGAATTCTTATGCAACACTTTTCTCAAAAACTCCAACAAGAATATGGGTATGGGCACATGCCTGCAAACCCAGCACTTGGGAGGTAGAGGTTAAGAGGATCAGGAGCTGAATAGCATCCTCAGCTACAGAGCTAATTCAGGACTGATCCGAGTTACATGATATCCTATCTTTTAAAACAAACAAACAACCTGTAAGAAATATTCTAATAATGCAGTTCAACAATACTTTCTATAAAACTGAAAATTTAAAGAAATGAGGCTCAAAAAGAAAGGCAAAAAAATTATTGCCCAGGGGGCTGAAGAGATGGCTCAGCCATTAAGAGAACTGGCTGCTCTTACAGAGGACTTGGATTCAGGTCCTAGCACCCATGTCAGTTAACAACCATCTGTAACTCTGGTTCCAGGGGGTCTAACCCTCTCTTCTAACCTCTGCAGGCATTGCACACACTAGTGTAGATAAATATATATATTTATATATGTACGCAGGCAAAGTACTCATACCCATAAACTAAAGTTTTTTTTTAATCATTGCCCAATAATAATGCCGCTTTGCATTCTTTTAAAATGTGACAGTTGTTTACCATATTCTACTTTTATTATACTTCACCTCCATCTAACTAGGAATGTTCAGCTCACAAGGTAGAAAGCAGAGGGCTGGAAGTGTAGCTCCAGCTTGCCTAAATGTTCAGAGCTCTAGGTTCCAATTTCTAGCACCACAGAAATTTGAGTATGGTGGGTCATGCCTGCAATCCCAGCACTCAAGAAGTAGAGACAGGAGGATCAAAAGTTCAAGGTCATGGGCTGGGGAGATGGTTCAGCAGTTAAGAGCACCAACTGCTCTTGCAGAGGACCTGGATTCAATTCCCAGCACCCACATGGCAGCTATGAACCATCCCTAACTCCAGTTCCAGGGGAATCCGAAGCCCTCCTCTGACCTCCGAGACATTGCATGACATGGGTGCACTCACATACATGCAGGCAATACATGTAAACACATAAAATAAAAATAATAAAATATTTTTAAAAAAGTTCGAGGTCATTCTCAGCTTCCAAGACCCTTTTCAGTAAAAGCCTAGGCTACACAAGACCCTGACTCAAAAAAAAGAAAAAAAGAAAGAAAAAAAAAAGGAATGGTGGCTCCTGCATATAATCCTTGCACTGAGAGGCAGAGGCAGAAAAATCACAAGCTCCAGGCCACTCAGGGCTATGTACTAAGACTCAGTATCAAAAAACAAAAAAAAAAGTATGCAAAAAAATTATAGTAGGAATGGTGGTTCCTGAATATAATCCTTGCACTGAGAGGCAGAGGCAGAAAAATCACAAGCTCCAGGCCACTCAGGGCTATGTACTAAGACTTAGTCTCAAAAAAACAAAAAAAAGTATGCAAAAAAATTATAGTAGGGCCAAATGCGATGGCATATGCTTTTAATCCCAGCACTTAGAAAACAGGTGGATCCCTGTGAATTCAAGGCCCGCCAAGGAGACAGAGAGAGACCATGTCGCAAACAATTTTCAAAAAACTGGTAAGCACAAAATGATTCCACATTAACTAATATACAAGCAGTAGTAATTCAATCCTTAAAGAAAGATAACTAATATTTAATAAAATATTAAAGTTTATACATGGATATATATATATATATAGTCTTGTATAACCCACCAAAGTAGGTGGAAAGTGGGTGATCCTCTAGCTTCACTTAACATATGAGGCAACCAATTCATTGAAAGCTTAAGGACTCTCACCTAGTCTATTAAGGGAAGAATCACAATTTGAAGTTGGGAACACTTGGCTCCAGGGTCTCGAGTCTTACTGCTCTATCTTCTATTAAAAACACAGATTTTTTTCAATTCAAAACCCAAAAAGCTATAGAAAAACAGCAAAAATAGAAGTGGAACGATTTGATTTCTATTCACGGGATTGCCCCTTTCAAGGATTAAAGTTTGGGGCAGGTTACTTGATCCCTTTGTGACTGTGCTCTAATTAATCTATCAGAGATAGAAAGTACTTCCTAGTCTCTCTCAGTGGTTTACTCCAAGAACCAACTGAGAATAGGCTATAGAATCCTCAGCAAAGTCGGAGGTGGTGATACACACCTTTGATCCTAGCACTTGGAAGGCAGAGGTAGGAGGATCTTTGTCGAGTTCAAGGCCAGCTTGATCTATATAGCGAGTTCCAGGCCAGCTGGGGTTACTGGGAGACCAAAAAAACATCTTCAGGAAAGCACTACAAAAAATGTTGGTGTTGCTAAGTCAGGGTTTTATGTCTAGATTTTCTAAGCACCTAGCACTGTTCCATATAAATGAAAGGAACTTAGTATCAATAAAGGTTTATTAACTGTAGCTTCAAAGATTACTTTAAATCTACTTTGTTCTGGATTTGAACACAAGAATCAAACTTTGTTGAGGCTAACTACAAATTTTACAAATATCCACAGTTCTACCAGGAGAGCATTAGTTTGTATGCCTTTTGAGAGTACAAACTGCCCAACAGCCATTCCTAGATGTACTACTCTGAGAAACACACTTGCCTCCAGGATCCTGGGTCCTAAGTACTGTGAAAAACGTGTGCTGTCAGTAATCGAGTTTCAGCATAGTGGTAAGACACTTAGCCGATGGATCACTCCTTAATTTCATCCTCCAGCACACAGAACACAGTACCTCTGTTAAGTAACTTTTGCCCAGCATATTTGTACCCAATTCACTTCTCTTGCCAATCAGAAGGATTCACATTGCTCTAAAGAGAGTTCATCCCAGAATACAATGACTAAACACTAAACGTTTAGCTCTTAAAACTATTACAAATTATCAAAATTGATTGAGGGCACAGACCTATCAATAATCTCTCACTTCACTTAACAAAAATACTAGGTGAGAAACAGTCTATTTGTTACCGTTTTATTGAGACATCCAGATCTTTTAGACAGTCCACGATTGTACTTCTGTGCCTCTGTACTGCATTATGGTCTGTCTGCACAGTTTTCAACAAAGATGTCAGAGCAACATACCTGGATGGAACAAAGGAAGAATGTAAAATTCAGGACAGATTACCTCTGCTTAAATAATGACAACAAAAGTGCCTAATGGATGTTGGAGTGCATGCATCTAGAAATATCTAAAGGAGCCGGGCGTGGTGCACACACCTTTAATCCCCGCACTTGGGAGGCAGAGGCAGGCAGATCTCTGTGAGTTCAAGGCCAGCCTGGTCTACATAGTGAGTTCCAGGACAGCTGGGGCTACAGGGAGATCCTGTCTCAAAAAGACTCAAAAAAAAAGAAATATCTAAAGGTAAAGACAGAATGGTTGACTATGAAGCAATGAATAAAGGCATAAGAAGTAGCCTACCCTACACAGAGGTGAGCAGGAACAGGGTCAGGAGGAGGAAGAGCAGGAGGAGGAGGAGGAGGAGGAAGGGTTAGAAAATGAGAAGAGGAGGAGGAGGAGGAGGAGGAGGAGGAGGAGGAGGAGGAATATAAGGAGCAGAAGGAAGATGAAGAACAGGAGCAGGAAGAGGAGGAGGAGCAGGAGGAGCAGGAGGTAGAGCAGGAGGAGCAGGAGCAGGAGGAATAGGAGGAGGAGGAGCAGGAGGAAGAGGAGCAGGAAGAGGAGGAGCAGGAAGAAGAGGAGGAGGAGGAGTCCCTCTGCATCTGCACCTCTGCATATAGCCTTCTCTCACATTTTTTATTTATTATTTGTTTTTTGAGATAGGTTCTGATGATATAGCCCTGGCTGGCCTGGAACGTGCTATGTAGACCAGGCTGGCCTCCATGCCACTTAGATTCATCTGCCTCTACCTCCTGAGTGCTGAGATTAAAGGTGTGCACAACCATGCCTGGCCACAACATCCATTTAAACTTTTAAAAATAACTGACTCAATTCTTTTTAAATCTTCCGAACAGAAAAACACAGCACATATTTTTCATACTGCCTTACCCCCAAAATGTAAGATGAAATTATTTTCATTTTATGATTTGAGTTTTCTCTGCTTTTATTTGATACTGGCACTAAAACTGCTACTATAAAAACCTGAATTTAAGATCCAAAGTCATGGGGGCCAGCAATATGGCTCAGCATGCTCACACAGCCTGGTAATGTGAATCTGTTCCCCAGAACTCATATAAAGGTAGAAGGGAAGAAAAAAACCTTCACAAAGTTGTCTTCTGATCTCCACATGCACGTGTGTGTGTGTGTGTGTGTGTGTGTGTGTGTGTGTGTATGTGCACACACACACAATTAAAAAAAAAAAAAAGATCCAAAGCCAGGTATTACAAGCCTGTAATCCCAGATATTAGGAGGTAGACACAGGAAGACTGCATAAGAAGTCAGCCTTGGTTACATATTAGTACTATGTCTCCAAAACCAAACCAAAATAAAACAAACTAGCCTCAGATATGCAGCCTATTTAATCTCAGCACATGGGAGACAGAGGTAGGTAAATCTCAGTGAGTTCAAAGCCAGCATGGTCTACAACAGCAAGTTCCAGGCCAGTCAGGGCTATATAGTAATACCTTATCTCCAGTAATAATAAAACCCAATGTTAAAACAATCCTTGTTTCCTCATCTTTTTATGATTAATATGATTAGAAAGAAAATGTTTTTCCTAGTTAGAAAATCTAGCAAGAAAGAGATAAATGCATATCCAAAAGAAACCATGTACAAGATAACACTATCAGTCCACCCATAGAGTAAGTAGCTGAGACTCTCAGAGGTGTTCAATATTTACTACCTGAAATGTATTTTTTCTTTTCTTTTTAAAATAATTTTTTAAAGCTGGGCATGGTGGTGCACACCTTCAATCCCAGGACTCGAGAGGGAGAGGCAGACAGATCTCTGTGAGTTCAAGACCAGCCTGGTCTACATAGCAGTTCAGGCCAGCTGGGGCTACAGAGAAACACTGTCTTAAAAAGACCCCCTCAAAAAATTTTTTAACTATTTTTATTTTATGTATATGAGTGTAATGCCTGCATGTATGTAAGTACACCCATGTCATGCAATGCCTGTACAGGTCAGAAGACAATTTTGAATTCCCCTAGAACTGGAGTTAAGGACAGTTGTTAGCTGGACTCTGGGAATCGAACCTGGGTCCTCTGCAAGAGCAGCCAGGGCTCTTAACTACTAAGCCATCTCTCTAGCACCCTGAAACGTGTTTTCCTTCTTCATATAGAACGAGGGTCAAGAAATGACCACCCGTCTCCAAAATCCAACCCTCTGTTTTTCAGACAACCTGCCTCCAGAATCTAACTCTTTCCTGCTTTTTAAAGTCAATTTCATTTGCCACAGCCACACATGTCATTTACATATCATCTATGGTTCATTTCACACTTAAGAATCAGAGTTGATGGGGCTGGAGAGATGGCTCAGTGGTTGGGAACACTGAATGTTCTTGCAGAAGAACAGAACCCACATGGCAGCTAACAACTGTCCATAACTCCAGTTCCAGGGGATGTGACAGCCTCTTCTGTCCTCAGCACTGCACGACACGGGTGCACTTATCTACATGCAGGCAATACACACATACACAAAAAAGAGAGCTGAGCAGCTGCTACAGAGTTGAAGCAAAGCCTAAAATATTCACCACTTAGTCCTTACAGGAAGTTAGCTCTTGACTTATAATAAAATTAGGAGTAAAAATGAAACCTAAAGAGAAATCTTGAAATCCTTTAAAAACAGAAGTTTTAAGACTAGATTGAAACTAAATTCTAAGTTCAAGTTCTATCACATAACACACACATAATCTTCAGCAAAGTCACTCTTGAAAATACAATTTTTACAATGAAGAAACAAGGTATTTTTCAGTTGACTTACCTAATATTTTTGTCATTGTTCAATAAGAAACGACCGAGAATATTTATGGCTAGAACCTAAAAAGAAATAGCATAGGTTTAAAAAAAAAAAATCTAGGAAAATTAAACATTTAAAGGCAAACTTTAAAAAAAAAATTTTTTTTTAATGTATATGTGTATATTTTGCCTGTATATGTGTAAGTGCACCACATGCATGCAGTGCCCGTGGCAGGGGTACATCAGATCCCCTGGAACTGGAGTTATAGATGGTTGTTAGCTGCCATGTGGGTGGTGGGAACCAAGTCCCATCCTTTGCAAGAGCAGCCAGTGCTCTAAACTACTGAGCCATTTCTCCAGTCTCAAGGCAAACTCTTAAAATCAGAGTCCATTTCAGGAACCAGCAAGATGGTTCAGTGGGTAAAACCTGATAATCTAAGTTTCATCTCCACATAGTGGAAGGGCAGAACTGATCCCTGCAAGTGGTCCTCCGACCTCTACATGCATACAGTGGTATGCGCTCACATATGCACACACATGCATACACACAGGCAGTATAGATTAGACAAATTGTTGATAGATAGATGATAGATAGATAGATAGATAGATAGATAGACAGACAGACAGACAGACAGACAGACAGACAGACAGACGGATGTCTTTTAAAAACTGCATTCCATTTCTGAAGTAACTGCTGAAATTACTAGAAGGCATAGTGAAAATGTATTCTATTTATGGGATGCTGCCCAATTCTAGAATTACAATAAAGCCAAATTAGATCTTAGCCAGGTGTGGTGGCACACGCCTTTAATCCCAGCACTTAGGAGGCAGAGGCAGGTGGATCTCTGAGAATTCGAGGCCAACCTGGTCCACATAGTTCCAGGACACTAGGACAGCTGAGGCTACAGGGAGACCCTCTCTGAAAAGACAAAAAAAAAAAAAAAAAAAAAAAAAAAAGAGAGATCTTGAAACTGAAAGAAAGACATGCCATCCATTTCCAAGTTTAACTCTAGAAACCTATCTGACAGAAACAGTTGTATATGTGTGTACACAAAAGCCTCTTGGAGTATTATCAGCAAGTAACCAGTAATAGGAGCCATCCTCAATAACAGACTTACTAAATATACTACTGGCATCCTATGCAAATATTAAAAGAAATGCATTTTGACACACTGTTAAACTGGCAAACTTTGACATTATATTAAACAAAGACAAACAAAAGGATAAATACTGCATGGCTCCATTTATGTGAGGTAATATATTGGGAACTATACTTTGCCATCATCCCCAGTACTTGGCATATACTCCTAAATCTCTTGAATGATAGCTTTTAGCTCTTGGATTTTTTGGTGGTCGTGGTTTTTCTATTTTTACTTTGTTTTTTCTTTTATGAAAGAGGGTCTCCCTAGAGCCTCAGCTGATCTGGAACTAGCTCAATCTCATGGAGAACCACCTGCCTCTGCCTCCCGAGTGCTGACATTAAAGGTGTGAGCCATCACACCCAGCTATATCTTTTGTTTTGTAAAGATTTGTTTTTTAAGTGTGCATGTGTGCCTGGGTGCATGTGTGTATTTCTGAGTGTGTGCTGCATTGTGTATGGGGATCCATGGAGGCTAGAAGAGAACAATGGATTCCCTGGAGCTGGAGTTATAGGTGGTTGTGAGCTTCCTAATGTTGGTTCTAGGAACCAGATTCCAGTCCTTTGGAAGAGCAGCAAGCACTCTTAGCTGAGCCACTTCTCCAGCCCCCACTTAGTTTTAGGAGGTAGTTTTAGCTGGGCTCCTAGAAAGCCTAAAGATAAGGCTGATTTGTCAAAGAAACCAACCATGGTATTGGAGGGTTGGAGCTTTCAGCTCAAGGCCAAGGCCCAGGGAAAGGACAGGTGTCAAAAGTTATGGTAATCACCAAGGATTTAATTGATCATGACTACATTGAGAGGTCTCCATAAAAATGCAAAAGGACAGGGTTCCTAGGAGCTTCCGGGTAGGCAAATGTGTAGAGTTTTCTGAAGGGCAGTGCGTGTGTGGAGAGTATAAAAATTCCTTACCTCTCCTGGCAGTCTCGCCTCCCATCTCTCCCATCTACCTATTATCTGTATCCTTTGTAATATCCTTTATAATAAACCAGTGTCTATGTGTTCCCCTGAATTCTGTGAGCCACTCTAGCAAAGAATTAAGCTTGAGGAGGGGGACATGGGAACCTAGATTTATAGCTGATTGGTTAAAAATGCCAGTCACGAGACTGGCATCTGCCATGCTCTGACACTATTTCAGGTAAGGAATGTCCAAACTGAATTAAATTAGAGGACACCAGATAGCCACTGAAGAATTACTTGTATAAGAAAATATCCCCTCATACCTGGTGTCAAAAGTAGTCTTGAGTACATAGGAGCATAGAGTAGAGTAAAAGGGAAACATCTCTCTCCCTCCCTCTCCCTCTCTCTCTCTCTCTCTCTCTCTCTCTCTCTCTCCCGGGGGGGGGTAGTGGTGGTGGTGAAGGGAGCAAAACCCAAGGCTTAGTGCAAGCTAAGTAATCACTCTACCACTGAGCTACATCCCCAACTCATTTTGTTGTGTTTGTTTTTTTTTTTGCAAAGTTACCAAAGAGAAATCCACAGGACAGGACAGGACAGGCATGGTGGTCCACATCTTTAATCTCAACACTTGAGAGGCAGAGACAGGCAGATCTCTGTGAGTTGAAGACCAGCCTGGTCTACACAGTGAGAACAGCTGGGGCTACAGGGAGAACCAGTCTCAAAAAGACCAAAAAAAAACCGACAACAACAAATCCATACGCAGAAAGTATAGAAAGGTAGTTGTTGTCAAGGACTAATTTTTCAAATAAACCCTTCTTTCCCCAAAGAAGGGGGAGAAGTGTGAAGATGAAATTCTGGGCAAAGATGGTGGTACTAGTTACTTATCAATGTACATGTACTAATATCATTACTATAAATTTTAAATGGTCCAAATAGTGAATTT